TTTTCTTTCCTATCAAAATATATAAAAGCTCCGTGAACTTTACATCTTTGGAACTTAAAAATTTTTTTTTTTTACCAAAGAAAATTATTCATGCTTTTTTGTTAGTTTAAACTGACTGCGTTTGCATTTAAAAAACACACCTTTCAATAATCTTTCTAGTAGATAAGAAAAGAAAAAAATAAAAAAATATTATTTTCTTTTATTTTATTTTTAATTAATTAATTTATATTTTTTATTGTATTGAGGTTTTTTTAAAGTTTTTATTAAAAAAAACAAGGTCTTTTTCGCTAATTAGTTAGCGGTACTATCCTTTTTTTTCGTCCAATGCATAAGTGGACTGCTACAAAGTATTCTAGACCAGCAACTACTGACCGTACTCTCGCTTTATACCACATCGAAAGTCCAACTTCCATCTTTATTTAAATCCTTTTTCTGGAGAAAGTCAGAGAAAGAAAAAATCTTAACCGTAACTTTCCAAGTTACACCCTGCAAATAATTTCCTTTATACTTCTTTTGAAGTATACTACATTCTGCTTTTTTTGGTTCGCGCAACAAAACAACTACAAATCAACTCAACCAACATTTAAAAAAGTTTTCGCAGTTTTTTTTAAGAAAAAGGACGTGAGAAATAATTATTAATTAACTAAGCAACTAACTAAAAAAGAAAGACATACCAACAACTTTTTTTTTTAAAAAAAAAAGTTCCTTCCAAAAAAAAAACCTTTGAACTTGTTAATGGAGGTTAAGTCAACTTCAAACCTTCATATTACAGCTGCAAATATGCCACCAAATACTCAAAAGACTTCAGATAATCTTATGCGTAATCAACAATTATTTCGTCATCATCACACTCATCATCATCAATCTCATCAGCAGCAACAGCAAATGATTCAACAGCCCATACACTTGCTCAACCGTAAAGGTTCTTCAGGTTCCATTCAATCTCGTTCTTGTAAAACGGAAGGTCATGGTGTGTCCGCTACTGTTTGTGCAAACTGCGGAACTACCACGACACCATTGTGGAGAAGAGCTCCAAGTGGAGAAACGATTTGTAACGCTTGTGGTGAGGATAAATATTAAATTTTTTTTTCTTGATTTTTTTGTTCTTTTATATACAAGTTATACTAAATTATAATTTTTCCTTATTTTTTAGGACTTTATCTCAAGGCTCGAAACACAGTTCGTCCGCCATGGTTGAAACGCAATGCAATTAAGAAAGCTCCTCCTGTTGTTCCAGAGACTCCCGAAAATAATAACAGTGGTACTTGTCCAGGTGATGGTCATTGCGATGGTACAGGCGGATCCAGTTCATGTGATGGTTGTCCGGCTTACAACCAACATCAAGTTAATCGTCAAGCCTTGCTTTGTGCGAATTGCGGAACAAATACTACCCCTTTGTGGCGTCGAGATGAAGCTGGTAACACAATCTGTAATGCTTGTGGTAAATATCAAAAATCAATACTTAAACTTTATTATAAGTTATATTATATATATATAAATATGATATTTATCTTTCTCTGTCTTTTTTTTTTTTCTTTTAGGTCTTTACTTTAAGTTACATAACGTACATCGTCCTGTAACAATGAAAAGATCTGTAATCAAGCGCCGTAAACGTGTTGCCTTGGCAACTTCTCCGTCACCATCTCATAATCAGTCCGGTGGATCTGATAATGAACATCAATCAAGAAAAGGCCGAGTAAATCATCCTCCTACTCCCGCTTCAACCTCTGGTTCTGAACGCGGTGAATATATTTCATCTGATGATGATATTTGTTCGGTCGAAGAAATTAATACTTGCAGAAAGAGAAAATCTGATTCGGATGATGATGGTAGAATTATTTCTACTGCTAATTCTAAACGTCGCTGTGGAAATGGTAGACAAGTCCCTCCTATTGAGGATTATATTTCCTCAAAACGCAACTCTTTTCATCACGTTGAAGGAATGTGGAATTCCAATAATAGTTATGATGATGATCGCAGACGCAGTTTAACTCCTGTCGAACCTTCTTTGAATTCTAATTTACCACAAGTTCATATTCATCAAAATAACACTGGTTCTTATAATGGTGGTCGTCTTATGGGAACTCCATCTGTTCCTCTTCCTTCCGTTTTCCATAATGATGGTTCTACTTCTCCAAGTCAATCTTCAAGTTCCATTTCCGCTTTATTGAACCCTAGCTCTCCAACAACTGTTCCCCCACAATTACCACCGATCAGTTCTATTCCTCCTTCAGTTGGTAATACTACTTCATCTCATCTCGGTCTGCCACTTCCATTGAATAATCATCCACAAACTGCACCTTTATCTAGTGCTGCAGTTACTGATCCAAATATTACTCAACAAGTTTTGCAAGCACATAGACAAGAATTACAACGTGAAGTATCACATTTGAGTATGTTACTCAATAGAACAACTGCCATCTTAGTTGGTTTGGATCAAGCTATGGCTTCGAATGCTGCAGCTCGTAACATTGATAATGGTGCTTTACCTTCAATGAATTTTGGATCATCTCCCGACAATTCTCTTTATAATGGGCAAAAATCTTACACTGGGTTACCTTCTCCACCTGTTAACGCTGGTATGGGCCAAAAATCTTACATGAACGTTACTCTTCCACCTCTTTCTCCTTCAAACTCTGATGTATCTCGTTAAAACAAAAAATATTATAAACATTCCGCAATTTTATATCATATATTATTCACATTACATTTAATACTCATTTGCTGCTGTTGATGATTAAGACATAACAAACAATCTCTTTTATTACGAACTTTTATTTTGTTGCTTTCGATGTTGGTATTTTTGACTTATAATAATAAAGTTAATAAAAGTTGTTCGGTCAGTCGTTAGTTATAGTTGGTTATATATTTATATCTCAATCAAAAAAAAATCATATTTTTTTATATACATATAAATGTCAAAAAAAAAAAAAAAAAAAATAATATTTTACATTTTACACATTTCAAAATATAATAAAACCCCTTTTTTTTCATTTCTTTTTAACTACTTTACTTTCTTTACGTACAAATCGAGTCTTATATATTGTTTCATTTTCCTTTTTCTTTTCTTTCTTTTCTATATTATAGAGAAAATATTAAAAAAAATATAAAAAAATACATAAAATCCAGAAAATTCAAAAAAAATTTGAAATTTTTTTTTAAAAAATAAAAAAAAAAACAAATCTTTATATTAGTTTTTGTAAAAAGTTTTAATAGTATATAATGTAATTTTATTTTTATTTTATATTTGGTTCCTTTTTTAAAGACTCGATTATGTTTTATATTTTAGTTATTATTGTAGGAAAAGAGATCTGAAAAAAAAAATTAGTCTGTTGAGACATGTTTTTGATCTTCTTAACTTCATGTTATATATATATATTTTTTTTTTTTATGATATCCTTTAAAGTGCTATTTTTATAGAAGTGTATACCGTCAATTTGATTTTACACATTTAGTAGCTTTCTTTTTGGCACTTTTTATGCATTTTTATTTTGGATTAATTTCCAATATTTTATGAATAAGTACTAAGAGTGGTTGATTTGAGGATTTTTGTTTCTTTTATAAATTACATTTGGTTATTTATAGTAGTAGATTTGCTTTTGTTTAGAGGGTGTCTCCTTTTAAAGTAATGGTTATTTTTTTTTCTTTATTTGGCTGCTTTGGAATAAAGAAATTTTTTGAATACAAAAAGAAATCTTTCGCTTTTGCTTTTTTTTTTTGTGATGTAATAATGTGAATAAGATTGAGTGTAATAATGTGAATGTATAACAGACATCATTAGTGGGTTGAACGGGATAAAATCATCGATACAGTTGCAACAATGGACGGAGGTTACGCGGTTATTATTTATCCTGATTATACACCACCGTCAACATCAATCCCCTTTGCTTCATATATAGCTTTTTTTTACAAAATGGAAGCAAGGTTCTTCATAAATGAATGATATATATTGGGTTGATATATCTTGTAGGGATATATATTGAGATGCATTTTAAGATATCTCGCGATGATATGTTTTAAGAAGATAGATAGTATATAAATGACAAATCAATTCTTTTATTTTAATAGCATACACAAATTTCGTATTTCCCGGTCAGATTTATATCACCTTTTTTAATTCGCGTGTTTTGACATTAGCGCTGGAAATTAAACTCCGGGCGACCAATAAAATTTGACTATTTTTTTCACATGACATATGGCGAGCATAACATATAAAGTAATTAATGAATGAAAAAAATGTTCTTTCAACTTTTTTACAGTAAATAAATAAACAAAGTACTACTCATAAAACATAAACTTTTTCAATAATGTCGCAAATTCCTCCAAAAAATGAAACGACTAAACCGAAATCAGCTTTGGACGTTGCGGTTAATCAACTCGTTCGAGCCTCAGTAGGTGGTGTACCTTCTACAATCTCCGATGAGAGCCTGGACAAGTATGTTGCGGACTTGATTTTAAAAGAAGCTGCTACAAAGAATAAAGAATATAATAAAGATGGTCTTAGAGCATATTTACCACATACTGGAACGTAAGTATATTTTGAAATTTGTAGCACTTTATTTAGTAGAACGTTAACATTTAACACTAATTTTTATTTTAATAGTCCGCCATGTACCCTTCCAAGAACTAATAAAAGGTTTTTATTTAATGTGGTAAAAAATGTGGATGGTCATAATCAAGCTTTACTTAGAAAGATAGAAGAAGAAGCAGCCGCTCGTAGACGAGCTTTAAATCGATCACGTAGGCATGATTCGGATGATGAAAGAAGAAGATATAGTAGAAGGAGGCATAGTGACCGTTATCGTAGGAAAGATCGTAAAACTAGTAATACTTCAGATGATTATGATCGTTATTATAGTGATGACGATACTTATTCAGATAGGTATGCCGAATTTATTTTTAAATTTCTTCTTAAAAAAAAAAAAATAATAATAATTATAATTATTATTATTATTTTTTAATATTAATTTTTTTTATTATTTATTAGTGAAAGGGATGAAAGGGATCGAAAGTCAAGTCATAAAGAGAGAAAATATTCTTCTCGAAACCCAAAACATGATGATATAAGATCATCATCTTCGAGGACAAAATCATCTCGACGTTCCGTTAGTCCAATTTCATCATCATCATCATCAAATTATCTTGACAAGACGTCAACTAGATTAGTTAGTAACGAATTACGAAAAGAACAAACAAATTCATCAAATAATAAGAGTACGTCGCAACTAAATATTATTAAAAAAGGTCGTGGTGAAGTTAGTAATGGATCAAAAATGGATAAATATTTCAGAAAAGACTATAATCCAATGTTTGACATAGAACCATTTATTGGTGAAAATAATTGGTTTAATTATAATGTATTTGATCAAATTATAACAGAAAAATCCCAATCCCTTGATGATGATGATAATAAGAAAAAAAAGAAAAAACATAAGGAAAAATCTAAACATAAAAAGGAAAAACATAAATCTAGTAGTAATAAATCTAAGAAAAAACGGAAAAGAGATTCTGATAGTGAAATATCATCTGATTCTGAAGAAGATCAAAAAAAACACAGAAAAAGTGATGATATTGATCTGAAACCTATATCTATTCGTGAATGGGATAAACCAAAATTAATATCTGGTACTTGGGATCCTGATAAAACAATATAGATAATTTAGAATAGTTAATTCAGTTTATTCTTGGTATATACTATATATATATATATATACGGGTATATAAATATTTACAGAAAATCGTGTGTGATCTTATTTTTAATAAATTTTATTTATTTTACTTTGACATCTTTTTCTTCCAAAGATAATGGAACATTTTTTTTGAGTTGTACTAAATTAAATCATGGTAATACAGATATACTTTTAGCAATTAATTTGACCTTTTCAGGCCCAAAGATGTTTGTTACATAACATACCATGCAACAAATTTCAATATTGATTTACAAATTGGTACTCAACTTTTTTTGAAGCACACAAAAAATTATCCATTGATAGGTTCGAGTCTACTAATTCTAGTAACTGTGTGTGACTGGAAATAATTTATTTTTTTTTTTTTTATGCGTCCCATAATGTCGAGATTGTTTTTCTGCTGCTGCCAGCTTTTTTGCTATTCGATATCATTACCAAACACATCTCTTAAATTTGCCGTTCCTTGAACCGGGTCGCTTCTTAGCGTTTAATACATACATTCGTTTATTAAAACGCATTCGCTCCTTTTAGATCTGCTTCTCTTCTTAAAATACTTTCAATTCGTTTTGCTTAAATCTAATTTCATTTACTACACCGTAAAACTTATTTAAATCGAAAGGTTATCATGGCACATGTGAGTAATCCGTAAACTGTTGTTTTCAATATTAAAATTATCATTTTATTTAGAAATTCGTTTAATAATTGATTTTTTTTTTTCTCTTTCTTTTTATAGAGATTGGGTGGTCGTAGAAAAAATGTTAAAAAGGGATTTCAATTCACTCTTATGGTTGTCGGTAAGTTATTTATCCTTTCTAAAAGTTTTTAAGGCATACTTGGGTTTTGACCTTTAAAAGAACCGTAACTCATAACAGATGACAATCTCTTTGTACTTTATACTTGAAACGAAATCTTGGACATAATTTTCTTGACTTTTTTTTAAAAAAACAAGTCATTATTTTTAGCTAGAGTAATAAAAAAAATGTATTTTATTTTAATTTTTAACCTTTAATTAAAATCTTTTAAATATAGGCGCGTCAGGTACTGGTCGTACTACTTTTGTCAACACGCTTTGTGGAAGTGAGGTTTTATCCAAAAAATTATGCGATAAACCTGATGAAGCACAAGTAGAGGAAGGCATCCGTATTAAACCTGTCACCGTTGGTAAGTAATTATTTATTATGTAATATTAAAAATTTTGGTTATTGTATATATATTTTAATTTTATATATATATATATGTATATAGAATTGGAAGAAGATGGTGTCAGAATTGCCTTAACAATTGTAGATACTCCAGGATTTGGAGATAATATTGATAATGAATTTTGGTAAAAAAACTTTCTATTATTATAGATCACGTCACGTAATTAATGATAATTAATTAATCTTTTTTTTTTTTTAATAAGTTTCCAAGAAATTATGGGATATCTTGAAAGACAATATGATGATATCTTGGCCGAAGAATCACGGATTAAACGTAACCCAAGATTCAGAGACAATAGGGTTCACGCTCTTCTCTACTTCATTACCCCAACAGGCCATTCGTACGTATATTATTAATAATTTCAAAAAAAGTATATGTTGTGTAATTTTAATATTTTATTTATTTTATTTTTGATAACTTTTAGTCTTCGTGAGATTGACATTGAATTAATGAAGCGTCTTAGTCCACGCGTCAATGTAATTCCCGTTATTGGAAAAGCTGATACCTGCACACCAACTGAATTGACTGAATTCAAAAAGAGGGTATGTAATGATTTTAATTTGAGATAGTCTTTTATTTTTTGTATTATATTAATACTTTATTCAACTTTTATAGATCATGGAAGACATTGATCATTATAATATCCCAATTTACAATTTTCCATTCGATATAGAAGAGGATGATGAAGAGACAGTTGAAGAAAATAGTGAATTGCGAGTATGTATAATCAGTTTTTTTTTTTTTTGGTTATTTGACAAGTTTATTTATTTACCATGATTTTTATATTTATTTAGGCACTTTTACCTTTTGCCATTATTGGTAGTGAAGAAGAAATTATGGTAAATGGAAGAGCTGTACGTGGACGTCAATATCCATGGGGAGTTGTCGAAGGTAACTTTATTTTATATTATTATTAACTTTTTTTACCTTTTCATCTCCTATTTAATAATATACTTATTTATATTGATAGTTGATAATCCGCAACATTCGGATTTTGCAAGATTAAGATCAGCTCTATTAAGGTAAAAAATCACTTTTTTTTTTATTAATGTTAGCCTTGTACCAATATAGCGTGATTTTAAACCTTATTTAAATTGTTTTTAGCTCTCATTTACAAGACTTGAAAGAAATTACTCACGATTTCTTGTACGAAAATTATCGTACTGAGAAACTTAGTAGAAGTGCCGATAACCCTGTTGAGTAAGTATCTTCATAAGTATGAAATATATTATTTATTGAATATATCTAATATTATTATTTATTTGTACTTGCAGGGACTCTACTATCTTGCCAGAAGATCTTGCTTCTCAAAGTGTACGATTGAAGGAAGAACAATTGAAACGTGAAGAAGAGAAGGTAAACACTTTGAATTATTACTTTTGTTGTAGTAAATTTGTTTATTTATAACATGAATTAATTTATTTTCTATAATATTTTCTTAGTTGAGAGAAATTGAATTGAAAGTTCAACGTGAAATTACTGAAAAGAGACAAGAACTTTTGGCTAAAGAGGAGGCATTAAGAAATTTGGAGGCAAGATTGGCACAAGCTCAAGAAAATAATTAAAATAGTTAAAATAAATAATATATTTTTATTCTTTATTATTACTTTTATACAATTTTTAAAGAAATATTTATACACTGTATTTTTTTTTTTTTTTTTTTTTTTATAAAAATTTTTGATATCGTAAAGAATTTTAACGTTATATCGGTATCCTATTCAATGTCTTAATTCATTATTTACTAAATTATTATCTTTNTGGGGAAAAAAAAAATATATTTTTTTTTCAATACAAACATAAATACTTATATAATTTATAATAAAATTTTTTAAAATAGTGATTTGATTTTTTTATTTCATTCTATTTATTATATTATTATGCCAATTTAATATTGTAATTCAAAAGGAAAATATTATTTACATAATAAAATTTTTTAAAATAATGATGTAATAATAAACTTTTTTTTTCTATTACGTATTATATAATAAATTTACTATTGTTTAAATTTTACAATATATACAATACTCGTTTCATAAATTAAAAATAATGTAATATATTCTATTTCAACGCATTATAAAAAAAATTTTTTTTTTTCTGAAATTTGAGGAAGAATTGCCTCAAAGATCATGGATTATTGTCCGTAGCATAATGATTGAATTATTTCGGAGGAAACTATTAATGAGAATTAATGATTATATTTCAATTGCATATCACTATTAAGGTGTCGATCGATCGAAATCTGAGATGCTTTTATCGATTTCTTTCTAGATATCGACTTCCGTTCTTTACAAAGCTCAATCCTTGCCTTGCTTTCATCTCTCTTCTATAAATCATAAAGCATTCGGAGGACGTGGAACATTTACAAAGCCTTAATTTTATTACTGGTCGCCTGACGAGTCTTATCGTAATTATCTGATAACAATCCCGCATTAAATATATATGGTTATATGACCCGAACGGAAGAGTAGTCTGAATTGAGTTATATCACGAATATTGTGATGTCTTGTGTATTGCGCTTCATAGAACTTCCACTAATGAATCATGTTTAAATACTCAATTGATCCAATTAAAATCAGTTTTTAAAACTTCATATTTTGAATCAAAGAGGATATCATTTCTGGTTATTCATTACTCACTCTCATGAATGTCCCAGTTAGAGACTTGATTAGTTTTAGTTTTTCTCAGACCTTCCCAAGGGTTATTTAAAAGGACTAATGAAATATATTTCATTGTCCGTATGTTTACCCCTAACACAAGCTTTCCGTTCAGGTCAAATTAAATTAAATTTGCTGTCATAAAGAAAGGATTAGGATCTTGATTAAAAAATGTGATTAATAATTGTATAGAATTCAACATATCTGGAAAATTACGTAATTCGCCAAGATCTGTTTAGTAAAAAGATATTGATGAAACCGTAATAAATCTCAAGGGCTACGAATGAAACGTATGCTTGATAAAATCTTTCCACTCATGTCAAATCAAATCAAAAAAAATAAAATATAAAAAAATTTTACCATGGGTCAAACTTAATAGAAAGGTTATGGGTAAAAAGGAAAAAGGAAAAAAAAGATATATAAATATAAAGTCTTTTGAATTTAGAATCTAATATATCTAAAAGAATCGTGTAATCTATCAAATGCTCAAAAATGTAAATAAAAAAAATCATGTGACCCGAACAAAAGAGTAGTCTGAATTGAGTTACATCACATTGTAATGTCTTGTGTATTGCACTTCATAGAACTTCCACCAGCGAACCGCGTTTCAACACTCCATTGGTAAGAAAATAATCAGTCATAAAGACTTCACACTTACAAACCAAGGAGGGTACCGTTTCTGGTTGTTCGCACTCACTCTCATGAGTGTCTCAGCTAGAGACTTTTATAGTTTTTCTCAGACCTTCCCAAGGGTAAAAAGTGACAGCGGAATAAATCCGTTGTCCGTATGTTTTCCCTTAACACAAGCTTTCCGTTCAGGTCAAAGAATAATAAAGTGTTGACAGAATAAAATAGTTATGATAAAATTTAAAGTGAATTAAAAATTAAATTAAAAAATTAAAATATTAAATTAAATAAAAATGAATATACGAAAAAAAAGTTCAATGTATTAAGAAAAATTAATTTCCATCGAAACCCAATGGGCGTAACAACTGTATAACAAGTTTCATAAATTTGATGTATTGTTCTTCGGGTACTTCTTCATCACTGAAACGTGCTCGCTCATAACCTTCAACGTAAGCATTTCCCAATTCGCGATCAATGATTCCATGTTCTACCAAAAAATCAATATATCGTTGAACGGACATCGACGGCTGACGTGTCAAGAAGGACGAATTTTTTACAACTTGTTTCTCTTTAATAATTTATTGATAAATTTAGTAATAATAACAAATTTATGTATTAGCTTAGTGAAATCGCTTACCTAATACCGAGAATGTTTCAATGATTGAAGATCTAAAATGTATATTATCATAAGGAGAACCTGAACAGAAATAAAAATTCACGCAATATATAATATATATCTCAGATATCTTAGAATTCCCAAAATAAGATAATACCTGGTATTCCCCACCCTGGTTGGCATCCGTCCTCAGGTCTCGGTTTTACATCAATCCTAGAAACGCGTATTAATTCTGAAACAATAAGATTATCCACAGACTAGAATGGAATTAATATTTAGTTAAAATCTTATTCTTAATGAAGCTTTATTATTTAAACATCTTATACCTTTGGTGAGTCTTTTGGGATGTGAGACTTTGGTATATCATTTAAAGCTCTTTTTACATTAAATAAGCGGCCAAGACCCAAAATAAAAGCAGCAATACCCTATCAAATATATTTCAAAAAGTACGCTTTGATTAATAACTTTAAAAAATAAGTCTTGTTAAATAAAACTTTACCGTTAAAAAGTAACTTCCTCCTGCAATTATGACAAACGTTTTATTTGTAGGATCTGCCGCTACAGCTTGAATAATAATATCGAGCGCAGAAGTACCAACAGTAACAACGGTCAAAAGCATAAGAAATATTATTATGCTCGTATATAATATTATACCAAAACTATTTTTCATGACCAGTGAAAAAAAAAAAAAAATTGGATGTTTTATAAGATCTGGTTGGGTGATTGATAATATATAGTCATTTGACTTGTCATACAGTATACATACTTGACTTTCACTTAGTGAAATCGATTCACAAAAACCGATACATTTTCTCAATTCTTGTTTTAAAACATTTTTAATTTACAGATTAAGCTAATTTAGTGTTATACTTTTTTTATCTTTATTTTCAAGATCTACATTTTTTCTTATACTTTAATAGTAATGAACTCAGTTTATAACTAATAAAATTTACTGATCGCAAAGTTATATTTAGTTCAAAGCCGCGAAGTAATAAACTACAACCATGATCAACGGTCAAAAAAAATTTTCAACTATCCGTCCAATTAAAAAACGAGATCTAAAAAAGCTACTTCATAAAAATTCATCGGTATCAAATCATACCAATTCTTCTTCGTCTTTTGCCTCTTTTGGATTATCTACTAATACCAGAGTTGATAAATCTGATTTACAGAATGTTAAAAAAGAATTAAAAGCCATAGGAAATAAGGCATTAGATAGAAAAGAAGAATTTGAAAGATGTATAGAAAATTTGGATGAACGTAGTAGTACAATAAGTAATTCATTTGGAAGTGTAATTCATGCTGGTGGAGTTGTAGCAAGGCTAGGAAGCCCCAATTTAAAAAGAAGTGCAAGTCCCACTATACCTAAGGTAGGAAGCCCACATAATAATCGAATAGGGAGCCCGAATGTACATAAAAATTCGAAAGAGAAAGGATCCAAGAAAAAAGGAGCTAGTATTAAAGTAAAAACCGAAGATTCAGGTAAATTTATTTTTTTATAATCATTTGATCTGGCTTATACTCTTTGATGTTGGTTTTGATGATCATTCAATTTTGCACAGATTTTGATGACCTATATGATCCTAGACCTCAGAGAAAAGAGTCTTCAAAGACTAGCTCGTAAGAAACATATTTTTCTTTATAGTTTGTACATCCTTTATATGATGATAATAATTTGGTTTACTTTTTTATAGCGGTACACATAGGAAGAAAAAGATACTAAAAAGAAGCACACTAAGCGAAGATGATAGCGATTTCTCAGATTTCGAAAAAGTGAAAGGTTCAAGAACTTCGACACCAAATCGTACTGCCCAAAATAAGACTTTGGTTAGTTGTTTTATTTAAAGTATAAAGCTTTATATGACCAAGTTGTTGTTATTCAATAAATTGGGAATCTTTTTTACAGAAGTCAGGAAATGCAGGGTCCTTTAAAAAGAGAAAACGTAGTACTTCAGAAGTTACGAATGCGGCAACGGATGATACACCCGTTGTCAAATCAAATGTGGCGATCAAGACATTTTATGACTACGTTGAACCTTATGTTAGAGATTTTAAAGATGAAGATGTACAATTCTTGGAAGCAAAGGTAAATTTTATTATAACTTTGTTTAGTCTTTTTAGTCTAATAAGAAATTTTTTAATTTGAAGGGAGACGATATAACGCCTTACGAAATTCCGAAACTTGGAAGACACTACGTAGAAGTTTGGGCTGAAGAAGAACGTAACCTTCTTCCTCAGACACCGGATGAACTAGAATCGCGCCGAGATGATCATATGGATATCGATGGACCTCCAAAGTCCCATGATGGTGATGATGAACAACGATCTGCTAATTTCATAGTCGACCGTTTATTAGCAGCTTTTCTTGAATATCCGGAAGCCTCAAATTTCATAAATCAACCTGATGAGTCACAAGTAAATGGTCAGAATGGACATTACGAAAGGGTTGAAATGGACCGAGATAAATCCATGGACGATCGACTCAAAAGAGAGCTTCAAGCATTGGATTTAATGGATGAAAACGATGTTAGTAATAGTCATCAATTATTATAATTATTTATGAATTAACATAAATCTATTATTATATAGGTGCAATGGGACGAACGAGAAGACGATGAAATAAGCATTAAATTGCGAGAATTGCAAGCAAAACTCCGTGAACAAAGCAAACGGAACAATTATCGTAAACAGATCTTGATCGAAAAGGTAAAAGCCCAAATAGGTTGGCAACAGTACCAATCATATTTAGAGACCCTTGACACACAAATCGAGGAAGCTTACTTGGCTAGATTTGTGAGTAACTTCTTTTCACTACGTATGTATGTACACGTATATAGACTTATAGTCTTATCCCTATACAACACTTTTTAGCCTGAAAAGGATAAATCAAAAATTACAAAGACCAAGAAAAACAAAAAACCGACGCCGTTACTTTCAGAAGTCGAGTCACTTCTTGACCAACGTAAAAAGCTGGTTGAAGGTATTGGCGCTTCTTTTGCTCCGGAAGAATATTCTTTCACGCCTGGTAAATTACTTTTTGACAAAGAGGCGCTTGCAAAATTGTAGCATTATCTGGTCAGATTATATAATTGGCCCGTGTATTCGTAAATGAATATGAAGTTTCACCTTGATAGTGGGACAATATATATATTCTTTGATATTTCAGCATGAAATGCATTTAGAGTAGTTAATATATTAATTTAGAGGTAAAAAGTTTGCAGGTTGAACTTTTACTTTTAAAAGTATCATGTATATACGCATCAATTATGCAATTTTTTTTTTTTTTTTTTTTTTTTTTTGTGCAGTCACGGTCATCACGCATTTATTATAAGAAAAAAAACGAGAAATGATATATCTAATATTCTAATTGTCTTTTTAATTTGTAATTTTATACACATCATGTATTTTGCCAATAATAAATAATGTGGTGTCTAATAGTTATTTTTTAATGATCGCGTATTTTAATACTAAATTCACGTGATATATCGTAAAACGCGCTAAAACGTTGAGATGCTCGATAACCTTTTAAGGTTAAATTCTGTTTGCATTTCTAACAAAAATAGAAGCAATACACGATATACTGGCGCGAGGAGTATTTATAGTATTTATAACCTTTTTCTTCTTTCTGGAAGTCGCGACAGTTTGTAAGATTTACTTCATGCCAAAGATGCAAAAGGTGCTTTGGGTATATTTTATTCCCTAACCCTTAGACCCATTCGTGGGTTAGGTAGGTTGCAGTTTGTAGCCTACCTTTTTAATGAGTTTTATGACCACGTTTGCTCATTTAAAAATAATTAAACAGGTTGCTATTCGCAACCACCACCTAGCATCCAAAGTTGGTTAAATCGGAGAAGCTGCAGTTGTCTATTAAGTGTTCGCACTGTCTGACTTCTAAAGCAGATCTGAAAGTGGAGTTTTTCTAATTTGTAATAATAATAAAAAAGTCAAATGAAATTCCCGGACCAAAGAATAAGGTGCTTTGTTCTAAGTTGAGAATATATCATTATGTATAATTTTTAAAAGTCGTCATTCTCATAAACTTGTTCATCGTAACTATATTCAATGATTTTGGTAATTATGATGAAACTGCGGTTGTTTATAGGAGTTTCCCGCCAAACTTCTAAAGTGAATTCATAGCCGGTTATTTCATGTATTCATCCTTATTCGTAAGAGAGTCATGATCTGTTGTGATTTCTTGAGCGTTGAGGTATGAATACTGTCTAACATTTACAGATTGAGGCATTAATAAAAAAGTTGAATTTTATTCGATATGCAATCAAATTTAATAATAATATTAAAAGTAGGATAATTATGTTCTTTAGATCTTTTGGATTAATATGTAATGTTTTATTCTTTACCCATTTTTTTTCTTATTCTTTTTTATATTACTATCGTTATCATGTATTTTAACCCTTTTTACTCTTATTTTGTTGTATTCCAATCAATTGTTTTCCTTTTTCTTCATTAACTTTACGTTTAATTGATTTTGAATTTTTTGATTTGTATTTTGGAGGACTTTTTTCTGAAAGGTCAAGTTTTTTACGAAACTGCCTTAATCTTTTCTTTTTAGAATATTTTTTTAGATCATTCTCCACAACAGGCTCAGGTCGATATCTGAATAATCAATCAATTATTTATTTAATAAATATAAAAATAATTAAATAATTATAAATTAATATTAAACTATTTACTTACGGTGCTAATTTTTTTAGTGATACAAATTCATTTAAATCTTTTTCGTCCGCTAATAATATTTCGGCGGCGGTTAAACCAAATGAAACCGGTTTAGTTTGTCTATATTTGAATCTTACGGGAGTATCACCAATCTATATTTAAAAAGTATATGATTATTTACTTATTTCTCTTCACAGATAACTAAATATAAACTTACAATATCTTCATAATCCAATTGATAATATTCATCCAGATATTCATCAAATTTCTTTTTAGCTTTCTTCTCTATATTTAGAAACCTTTTAGTTTTGTCTTATTTAATAAATAAATAGACGACGAAGTAACTTACTTTTTTGGGATTTGGTCTCGTCATATTTCTTTCCACCTGGCAAATAATCTGCATCCATATTAAAATCGTCTCCAATAACGCCTTCAGATTCTTGATCGTCACCATCATATTTATTATATTCTTTAACAACATTTATTATAGAATTAATATTTTGATCGTTGCTATTGCTATCTATGATATCACCTATGCAGATATCATCATTCCATTCTGGCTTTTCATTATCAGCCTAATTTTAGTGAATATAAAGATTGTTATTTAAATTACATCGTTTATTCTAGAAAGAGCAACATAAGCAACTGACCTCTCCCGCATAATAATCATCATCAAATATTTTACGCATTTTTTTATCATATTTATTAGGATCGAAATCTTCTTCAAGATCAACATCATCAAAACCAACAGCTAAACCATAATCAAAATGACATCAATTTTCTGCTTAGTCAAAATAATCTACAAAATTATAATACATACTATCATTGCCTGTTATTTCTTTTATTTTTCGTAATTTTTCAAAAATCTCCTTCTTCTTGAGATTCTTGAGTCTCTTTAATTCTTCTATCTTACGTTTTTTCTCTTCTTCTTTTCGATCTGAACGCGTTTGACGTTTAAGTTTACGCGTATTATCAGTTCTTTTAATTAAATAACAATGGTTACTACTCTATATATTGAGTATGTAAGTTTAATAATAATCTTCAATAACAAACCTTCGCATTAATCCTTCAAGGTTACGAGAATATGTAATTACTTTAGTACTCCCACTAAAAATAATGAAAATCGATTTTAATGCATTCATGATACAAAATTTTTAATAGCCATATGTATCATATTAATTGCTTACTCTTCCTCGAAACGGAAATTATATTTGCTCTCGAACTGGTCGACAGCTTCCTCAAATTTTCTATCTTCCTCATCGTGATGTTCTGCAATAAGTTCTTCATACGACGGAATTTTATCAGATTCTTTGTCAATCCAACCACGATTAAGGATAAAACTAAAAGGTAAAATTTACGATTACTATATTAAAACAAGGAACCTACATACAATATATAAATTAGCTCACTTCATTAAAAAGGCTTCATCCTCATTTACATTTGGATTGTTTTTATAATTTTGCCATTGTTTAAGAGTTTCCGCATCATTAGCATCCGCCATACTTTCTAGTAAAAACTTTTGATAATCATCTTCTTCGGCTTTCAATTCTTCAGCCGATTTATGTCGTTGAACCAAAAAATCGTCATCATTATCAGAAAAATCGAATTTAGAAGTAGCCGCCTTAAATTCTTCTTTCAACTTTTGCTCTTCTTGTACAGGTGCTAATTCAATATTCCCCTTGATTTTAGAATTATCTATTATACCACCATTTTCTAATAATATGTTGCGATTGTAATCCTTTAAATTCATAGGTTTTGCTTCTAACTATAAAATAATGGATACTTCAGTATACAAATTTGTCAGTTCATTGTTTTTGTTCACACGAGAATTCTAACCTTTTTTTCTCGTTGTTTATCCAACCATTGCTCACGTGCTTTTTGTATTTCTTCTTCTAAGTTTTAGAAAATTTTTAAATATTTTATATCAAAAGAATCGCTAATTACATTATTAAAAAAAAATTAATTACCTGCAAAAAAATTTGATTGAAAGTCATAGACTTTTGGATCTTTTGATTTTATCGCAATAATCGTCTTCATAATTTGCGCATCTACCTCTGGAGTAACTAATTCTCCAAACTCGTCCTCTTCTTCAGAAGTTGAAGATTCATCAGCCTCATCGGAATCGAAGTTGGCGACATCACCATACTTTTCTTTGACTATTTGTCAATGTCGGATACACCGTTCTGTGATGTCAGTTCAATTTATAAATAGAGTATTACGACAACACTGAAATTAAGTTATAAAACCTGCTCACGTTTTGAAAGTTCTTCGCCTCTTTTTCTCTCCTCATATTTTTTAGCAAATTCTGAATTTATGGTTAATTTTACCGGTGGATCTTCTTCGGAATCCATTACTTTAAACAAATATTAATTAATTGATACTAATAAGTTAGTATATCTGTACGATCAGGTGATCTGTACCATGTTACGTACGAATTTGATATCCATCAGTTCTTGATAATCTCATAAAAATGGACACTTCGGCCACTTCGCCAAACGAACAGGCATTTTCAGCCTCTAATACAAATACTGTTTCAGTTCAAGCACTTCCTATAAAACGGCCTAATTCTTCACAAAAATATGATAATGCTGTTTCTTTTTCAGCGCTTTCTTCAGTATTTGCAGATCAAAAACCTTCAACTTCTTTAGTTAGCAATTGGGCTCCTTCTTCTTTTGGTTCTCTGACTTCTATTGATCAATTTTTTCTAAACTCTAAAAAAACGTCCAGTTCTAGCTTAAACTGGCTTGGTATGGCGGGCGGGAATAACAATGTTGATTCACCGGATCCTGTTATTCAAGATGCAAATTTGAAGGAAAAAGTTAAGAAAGGTGTTTGTGAATTCGTACATATTATGTAATAATTTTTTTTTTTGTTAAAAAAAATTAATTTCTGAATAATTAAACAGCTTACATAGATTTAGAAATATATGGTCGTCAATTATATAATGATTCTTCTCTCGGATTGTACCATATGAGTGAACATATTCGTAAAAGAGTGCCACAAATCGTGGAAGATAAGGTAACTTTCTTTTTAAATCATTTAGGTTTTAGCAATATTTATAATTAATATCCTTAATTTTTAATTAATTAGAAAGTATTAACTAGTTTAACTAAAGATGTTGAAGTTACTTTAGAAGATATGAAAGATTCTTGTGAAGTAATAGAATCTATGCCAACAATCCCTTGCTTTAATAATATTAATGAAATGTTAAAGCGTACTTTAGAAATGGTTGAAGCTAAAAATAAGGATAATGTATAGCACTATTTAAATACCCGAATACAATACAAATATTTTTCAAGTACACGTGGTACTCTCAACAACACTCGATTTGGAGGCGGATATTCATAATATTTAAGGGAATATTTTACGTTTAAGAAAATATTAATTATAGCATTTATTAATTATCTTTAATGATAATGTACTTTCGTTTTTGATGATATTGTAGTATTATATGGTTATCTAGTTCACGAAAAGAAGTGGAAATGTAATAGCCAAAAATAACTGCTTTATCATTAAAATATCCACATTAAATTCAACCGTCAAATAATTTCAACCTTTCAAAATCAATTACAATTTCAAATTCCAGAATTTCAGATTTCTTTATTTATTAGATTCTTATTTTATTATTATTATTATTCAATATATATTAATATAAAGAGATTATAATTAAGTTGAAAAAATCATGTTTGTCCATTATGTTGCTTGAAAACAACCAATCCAGCTAAAACACCAATCCCTAAAAATAAAAAACTAATAATCAACCAAATAATTCCCCATATTTGAGATGGACAGCATTTACATTCTTTAGCAAATTTACTAGCATCTGATTCATTAACTTTACGGAAAACTAAGAACAAAAAAATTATTTTTTTTTAGATATTGAAAATCACTAAACGTTGTAGTTATAAGGAAATAAACTTACCCAAGTCATCCATAATATCCCATAGAGAATAAAGACAAGACATTACACTTTTCGAAAAGATAAAAAGTTAATAAATAAAAATTATTAATTCTGCAAACATGTAGTAAAATTAAAACTTACCCAACAAATAACACGAAATATTTTAATCCAGCACCCTTATCAATAAACCATAATAACACAATAACACCAACAAAGAATATAGTAAGCCCTCTTAATAACCAATTTTTTGCCCAATATAAAAGTGCAATTAATATTATGCCAAGAACGATCGATGCAACTTTTAATACGATTCTATTGTCAGTATCATCAAACCCGCAAAATATAAATATTGCTCCTATAAGAGATGACCCAAGATACCCTAGGAATAATAAGTAAAAGAATTTAGTGCCATGCAATGATCTTTGCGAACTAAATCTTAACATACCAGCTGGTAAAGTACAGCATGACATTCCCCCTCTCTAAAATAATTTAATTTAGTAAACGTTTTCTAATACTAAAGCTTTTCAAATGCAATCGCGATTAGTTACCATCCTTGTTGCACCTCCTTCATCGGGATCGAGTTGAATTGACTCAATTTTAGCTCCAGTACAACATCCCGCCGCAGCATGCGAAAATTCATGTAAAGCAACTGTTAATAACTAATATAAAATAGCTAAATTAAATTAATAATCGATTACGAATGTTATTATTAAGAAATTATAATAAATCAAACCTTGAACGGATATAAAATAATTTTTAATACAGGTAAGTGCCATAGAATGAGTATAGCTAGTGCATACGCTCCAATAATAATGAGTGTGATTCTTTGTTCTGGTGTAGGTCTTAACCTATCTACCACGTCTTGACCTGTAACAGCTCTAGGTTCAAGTATAACAGGCATATTTTGACGTGTAAAATATATTTTAAACGTACTTTCTTTTTACCTTTCGTTGAATTCAATTACCAAAATTTTGTTTGAAGAAGTAACTTTTAACGTAATAAAAAAACGGAAAGTGGCACTACACGGGACTATAATACAAAGGCTTTGACAGCAGCAGTAAGGCGAAGTCTCTTTTTATACATTATTATACAAAATTTTTACATGAAGTGAAACGTACATCTGTACAACGAACCCCCAAAAAAACATTTTTATTTATGATTATTTATGATATCATATAAGCTTGGCTATAACAATGTTTTTAGTTTATCATTTGCGATACTAAGACTTAGGTTCATTATTTTCTATTTCTGATCATTATGTAATATACATCCAAAGCGGCCAAGAACGGGATATGTACGGTTACGCACAACCTTTGTGAATCAATGTAATAAATAATACCGATTTCCGATTAAATTGTTAATTTTAAAACACTTCGAATAAGACGTTATTAGTATAGCTTTTATTGTTAACCTAGGGTATTAATATCCAGAGATATGTAAATTTTATTTTTTTCAAATAGACAAAAAAATATTTAATTATCTATTGGCCGGAATTAATAGTAATTCTGAAAAAGTTGCCATATAAGGATAGGTGAATTTTACAATATTATTTTTACTCATCATGTACAGCGAAACTAACCTTAAGAAATAGCCAGAAGTTCATTAAATTGGGTCTGCATAAAAAATTATATCGTTAGAACATGTAAATAAAACACGATGACTGATGACATTTTTGACTTTTATGACTTATACCTAGTTTCAGGTAACATAGGGTATTGAAGTCTGGCTATTGGTTTTATAGTCTCGCCACTAACAAGGCATCGTAATACATAGAAAGAAAAATAGTGCGAACTTAATCGTTTCCATAATAACAAATATTGGAAGAATATTGCTGATAACGGAATAGGTAAATTCTAATAGCCCAAATCGAAACAAATTCGTTACAAATTAATTAAATTTTCATGTATCACATCACATATTAAACAAAACGAATTCAAACCTGCATGAACAAATAGCTCACTCTTGGTGGCCATGATGCTGACATTGAAGGATTTATAGATATGGGAGAAGTTGGAGGAATTGTTGACAATGATGTAAAATTTGAATTATTAACATCAACCTTTATTCGATTTTTTCTAACCCTGATAACTTGATCAGATTCCTCTTCGTTTTGGGGGTTTCGGTCAGGCTTTGATGCTAATTTTCCACTTTTATTAATAATTGTTGAAGTGTTGATGGAAGAATTACACATTTTACGTAATCGACTATTCCAAGGCCAAAATGATTTTATCTTTCTAATAACTCTAGCAACCCCATAAGTTGCAAAATAATCTGGATCACATATAATAAATTTTAATCCACCTAATAAAAGAAATATATAAATGAGCAAATGTTTTATCATCTTGAAACAAATAAATCCAATTTACAATTTATACCCGGTAATCGATCTGGATCTTTGAATCGCAACATAATAGCGAATAATGGAAAATGATTTAGGAACGCCAATAACGTTTCCATAACTGCCTGCAAAAAAATAACGGCTACACGACTCTACAAAAATTAAATTTTATAAGTAATAAGTAATAATATGTTAATATATCCATAATTACTTACAGTTGCAAATGTAGCATAATAAACTACAACCGTAGGAAACAAAAATGTTAATAATGTAAATAATATAGTGCCTAAAAGCAATTGATCCAAGTCGTAATCACAGGAATCAATACGATTACGTAAAGTGTTCCATTTTTTGCCTAAAAAATACAGGAAGAAACAATTTAGATAATTTATCATTTTTAAATTTTAAAACTAAGTTAAAATTAATACCTTGAAATAAATTAAATAAAGAATAAAGTATAGTAAGTTGCCAATTAAAAATTTTTGCAGCAACCATATAAAACAAGTAAATGTGAATTGTCATGAATGACAAAAAGTCTGAAAGTAATGACAAAACCATTGATCCACCAAATATTCCAGATAATCCAATAATCCCGATAATAGATGGTGTCAACGGTCCTATAATTCCCGCACAGTCTATTTATATAGAAAAAATTATTAGCTCATCGTAAAATTTAGTCACGTATCTTAATAAAAGAAATACCTTTCCAAAGTTCAATCAGCCGAAGGAAAAGTTCCCCCAAAAAACTGTCCAATTCACTATTTAATTTCAATCCAGCCGGCCAACCCATTAGCCAATCTATCATCGACACTAATTTTTCTATCGTATAGCGCTAAAGTATTAATATAAGTTAATCAAATTAATTTTAAATTAAAACTTGAATTGAACTAATAAGGACATTTCTTACATCAAGATAGTCCCTCAAAATGATGTTAGCCACGTACTCACTATTATTGACAAGAAAAGAACCGATCGTAAGTCCGATAATAATATCATTGGCCACAAGCCACATGCTGTTATAAAAGCTATAAATTAAAAATAATGAGTATTTTTTTTTAAAAAAATAAAATAAAATAAAATAAATAAATAAACAAACAAATATTTAATGCATTTCATTTTGGCTTCTCACCTAATATATTGTGCTCGTGTTGTTGCAGTATTTGTCCAATCCCTTCTCCTGAGTAGCATATATTGCCAAGGCCAAAAGCATGCCTGTTGAAGTCGTAAATCAATTTGTTGTGCTATATTAAAATATTATAAATTTTTTTATTAATAATAAAATTTTTAATTAATTTAACATGTTTTAATAATAGAGTCGCAAAAATTAACAACTTTGCTTTACATGTCGCGGATAAATCTTTTAATGCCATTCCATTAAACATAGAATGGGGAAATCGCAAATTCAAAATCCATAAAACCATCTCGGCAAATATTCTCACTAACATGAGAAAGACAATTATGGGTTGTACTAGAATCGGTCGAATAAAGGGCAGCATATATTTTATGGGATAAAGAACTCCCTTTTTAATAAAAATCGCTGATTGCAATATTGTCTCAGAAACACTAATGCTATTGCAATTACGTCTATTGGTGAAAAAACGGCATCTAGTGACGATGGCTGATTCAGTCTCAAAAGAAGAATTTATCTAAACCAAGAGAAACAATAATTTTACAAATTAAGCTCAAATTAAATGCAACTTACGATGAAATTTTTGTCACTAACCTGATTTAAAATAAGTCTCATGTCATTTATTTGCGTTCGCTGCTTCCCCGAACGTAAACGAGTGTTAATTATTTTTTTCATGTTTTTCATAGTAAATGAATCTTGACCAACTTTGTGACCGCTATTCTGTTGAATATCTAATACTAACGGTTCAAGTGAGATGTATTGAAGTCTAGTTGGATTTGGTTGTTTATAGAAAATGATTTCCGAACTGACATCTGAATAACGATATCCACAACAGTAAATTGATCTTGATAATTTTATTAAAAAAATTTTAATAAATTGTCAAGTTTTGGCGTAAAAAATATTACTCTTACCTTAAGAAAGGCATGTTATTACTTTGCAGTTGTATTGTCATCCATAAATTCGCTGTTTTCCTTTTATCTGCAACGCCTATATAAATAGATGATCCACTAAGGAAATCAATAAATTAACCTAAAATAATTATAATAAAACTTATTTACCTTCTGCATTGAGTATACTTCCTCCTTCTCCATTAGTATCATATAAAGTAGTCAAAACACCCAAAACTATTGGGGGTGCACCACACACCTTGCCCATATATACAAAAGATGAACTAGTATCTGTTGATAAAGCAGATAATGTGGATTCCAGGTCATTAAGCTTAAATCAATTTCGGAATATAATAAGTAAATTATATTAACATTAATTAAACCTTTATTAAATTGTCAATATTGCTTACTTTCACATCCGAGATTACAGCAGCAATACAAGTGGTAAAACTACGAATGTTCCAACCGACCAAGAATCCTGCTTTAGTTCGAGGAGTGCATACATGCGCCGGCCAAAATATTTTTGATACAGCTCCCGGCGTGTTCATTTATTACTGTTTCTAAATTTACATATAAACCTAAGAAAATAAAAGAATTATTAATATAATATATAATAGCGTTTACACTATCTTTGTAACTAACCCCAAAATAGTTGTGCAAAAAAGTTCAATAGTTCTTTCTGTCAGAAACTTCCCCTTCTTTGAAGATGTTCACGTGCTGAAGTTCTATATGGGTAACCGTTATTCTTTTAAAAAAAAAAAAATGAAAAAACTTGACCATATCTACTAAACAATTAAACCATAAAATCAGTGCTTACTCTTTTTGACTCGTAATCTGCAATTCTGTAAAGAGGAATAAGTATAAGAAGGAATAGTAAACTAAGTCCAATCAGTACGTAAAGAAGGTGACGCTAGAGTAATAAATAAATAATAAATATTGAAATACCAATTTAAGGCGGGTCTAACTGATACTACGATACAGAAATATAAATACCTTATGTGTAGTTGACGGAATGTCGTTGAATGTTTCGTATAACTTATTCACCAAGTTATTGTGACAAGCAATATAACCGACTCCAAAAGAGGCTATGGTACCCAGAAGGTACGCGTGCATAAGTAATGGCGCGTTGCCTAATAACTAATATTAAGGTTCGCCACTGAATCAAAAAAAAAGATTTTTTTCGAAATAAACTTTAACGTCAATCCGTTAATTTTATATTTTATAAACAATCATTATCAAAAATCGTTTCACGACAGGACATTTTCCCGCCGGCCACTTGATCACCAACTCTGGTCTGCAAATATCCTGTTGGGGAATCGTTCATGATGTCTTTTAAATACTTAATAAAAAATATAAAAGTACAACTTTATTTTATTTTTTTTTATCATTACGATATAAAAAATAGATCGTAAAAAAATTTATTTGCGTGAATTTTTAATTATAATTTATTACAAAATTTACGTAACTATAATTTTTTTTGAAGAAAAAGAATATTTATAAATGAAAAAAAAAAGCTATTCTAATTCCATTGCCATTCTAGCTATCCCACCAGAGTTTGAATTACAATTACTGTATAAATTTTGATATATACGAATTGGAAGTTAATTTACGCAATTTTTTGTTCAATTATTCAATTGTAATTTGTTTTCCACTTTTCTCAACTTTGGGAACAACGATCGACAAAAGGCCATCTTTATAAGAAGCTTTTACGTTTTCTGGATCGATTCTGCCAGGAAATTGGAATGAACGTTGAAAATGACCTCTTACTCTTTCGGAAGTCCAAAAAGTTGGTTTGGTTCCAGTACTAACAATACCACTAGTATCTGCTGCAACTACGTCACTAGAAGTGTCAGTTCCGGTGGATTCTGTTGTGGTACCACCAGTATCAACAGTTCGCATTCCCTCAGTAGAGGGCGCAGTTCCTTGCTCAATTTTACCTTTCATAATTAGTGTGCCATCATCTAAGAATTCTACGGATAAATCCTCCTTTTTCATGCCAGGTACTTCAGCTTCAATGACATAGTTTTTATCATTTTCTAAAACGTCAACAGAAGGGCGAAAGAAGCTTTGTTGATCAGATAAGGTAGGAAAAGAAGCAGGGAAGCGACGAGCAACATTAAACAGTGGTTCGTCTAATAATGAAAATGCTCGACCAATATCATTGGCGAGTGATGGGAGAACGCGATTAATAAGAGACATTTTGATAAAATACGACGTTTAATCTTTTTTTGTTTTTGATTAAATTTTTTTTTTTTTGATCTGATTTTATATATATATATATATATATATATATTTATATTTTCGATTGAGATTTTTTTTTCTAGAGTTCAGGTTATTTATATGTACATAAAAATCATCAACTAGAAATTGCTAGAAAGAGATTTATCACTATTTGTAATATTATCACGCGCGAGTTTTTCTAGCTAATTCAGGAAACTTCGATGAAAGAAAAATTATTATATCACGTGATTCACAATGTCACAATTGACCAATTCTGATGCACTGAAGTAACCTCTAATCTAACAACATTAGATCTTTTCACTTTTCTTTATATCATGGTTAGTGCCTAGCGAAAAAAATTTTTTTTATCCTCTTTATTCGAGATCTTAATAGTTTACAATTACAGTCTTTAGCACCAGTACAAATTTTTAAGGATGAAGCAACGGAGGAACGCGCTGAGAACGCGCGTTTGGTAAGTTATCATCGCTTTTTTATATAATCAAAATCCAACAACTCTAAAATTTTTTTTTTACTTAAGTCTTCTTTCATTGGGGCGATCGCTATTGGTGACCTGGTAAAGAGTACATTGGGACCAAAGGGAATGGTATGAAGAAATCAACTGAACAGGTTGGCGCTATCGCATGAGTTTATGTCCAATATTTATTTTGTAGTAAATAATTTTCTTTTTGTAGGATAAGATCTTACAATCGGTGACTCAAGGCGATATAATGGTAACGAATGATGGTGCCACAATACTCAAAAATATCGCTCTTGATAACGCAGCTGCTAAGGTTTTAGTTAGTATCCTTGACATGAATCTATGCGATTTATGAATAAATCTTTATATCGTCTAAAATGACTTACATAGTACAAATAGTCCTGGAGATTCAGATGCATCACAGAATTATAATTACTATTAATTACTATTACGATGGAGATTCATTTTTACTCGTAAACTCCTTAACTTTTAATTTTAGATATATCTAAAGTTCAAGATGATGAGGTTGGCGACGGAACAACATCTGTTTGCGTTCTTGCAGCGGAGTTATTGCGCGAAGCTGAAAGGCTCGTAAACCAAAAAATCCACCCTCAAACTATTATTGAAGGTTATCGTATTGCTAATGCTGCAGCATTTAAGGCCTTAGAGGCATCCGCTGTTGATAACGGGTAATTCCTGGATAATTATTTTGTACTCATTATATTAGTGTTTTTGTCAGCTCTAACGTTTGTTTTTAGAGCGAATCCGGAAATTTTTCGCAGGGATTTAATTAACATTGCTCGAACTACTTTGAGCTCTAAAGTTTTATCGCAAGATAAAGATTATTTTGCTAATCTTGCTGTTGACGCTGTTTTAAGGCTCAAAGTAAAAATTTAACTTCTACGTTTAAAGTATATTAATGTTACATATATTTAAATTATCAAAATGGTTTACATATAATGTGATAAATTTACATAGGGCAGTACAAATCTTGAACACATTCAAATCATCAAAAAGGTTGGTGGTAGACTTATTGATTCCTATCTTGATGAAGGTCGGTACATTATTATATTTTTATTTCATTTTATGAACAAAGTACTCAATTATTTCCTATTTTATAGGATTTATTCTGGACAAAAAAATCGGTGTAAACCAGCCAAAGAGGATTGAAAACGCAAAAATTTTGATTGCAAATACACGTTTGTGTTATTTATTTGACTGAATAAAAATTACTTCATAAAATGCTTAGCTATTTACGATAAAATATAATTAGCGATGGATACCGACAAGATTAAAATCTTTGGTGCGCGTGTTCGCGTTGATGCTACTGGCAAATTAGCAGAATTGGAAAGGGCTGAACGTGTATGTCTCTATTGAAATTATTTATACAATTTATGTAATAGGGTTTAATAAATAACCTTTATTTTTTAAAAAAATTGACAGGACAAAATGAAGGAAAAAGTTGAAAAGATCAAGTCGCATGGCATAAATTGTTTTGTCAATCGTCAATTAATCTATAATTGGCCCGAGCAACTATTTGCTGATTCTAGTATCGTGTCAATTGAGCATGCGGACTTTGATGGTGTTGAAAGATTAGCTTTAGTTACCGGTAAGTTTATAGGACATAAACGTTCGGAGTATTCTTAGATCTCCATTATAATGTTATATATACTTAATTAGGCGGTGAAATTGCATCAACATTTGATCATCCCGAACTTGTAAAACTTGGTCATTGTGATCTTATTGAAGAAACTATTATTGGAGAAGACAAGGTTTTTATCCTTCAATTTCATCGTATATTTCCTATACTTTTCTAATTAGTTTTACAATTATAGTTGATAAAATTTTCCGGAGTAGCCGCCGGCGAAGCTTGTACGATTGTACTACGTGGAGCTACAAATCAATTGTTAGATGAAGCTGAACGATCGTTGCATGATGCATTGAGTGTGTTATCACAAACTGTAAAGGAAACACGTACAGTGCTAGGCGGAGGTTGTTCAGAAATGTTAATGTCTAAAGCAGTTGATGAAATGGCAGCAAAAACTGCTGGTAAGAAAGCTATTGCGATTGAATCTTTTGCAAAGGCTTTAAGACAAGTAAGTACGGTTATAATGTTCTTTTAATGAAAGTTCATCATAATATATAATTTTATCATTTCAAATTAGATTCCTACTATTTTGGCTGATAATGCTGGTTATGATAGTGCAGATCTAGTTTCTAGACTGCGTGCTGCTCATAACGAGGGAAAGTCGACGTACGGCTTAGGTTAGCAATTTTATAGTAATATATTTTATTTATGTGTTTATATGTTAATGCTTACTCTTTTTTTTTAGATATGGAAAATAACAATATTGGAGATGTGCGTGAAAAAGGGGTCACTGAATCATTTAAGCTTAAGCAACAAATTTTAATTAGTGCATCAGAGGCTGCAGAAATGATTTTACGCGTAGATGATATTATTCGATGTGCGCCAAGGTACGATAAATTTTATTTCGTAAATACATCTTAATTTAATTATTAACGAAACAATATACTATATAGGAAACGTGAAGGACAATGAGAGATTAAAAGGTAATTTATGGATTGCGTAGCATTATACATATTTATAATTTTTTTACAAAAAAAATTTTGAAACGGCTAAATTTAAATAAATAAAGTTTATTTCACGTGATTCCTATTTGTTAATAATATAGTTCGGGCCGTTCGGGCCGAAACTTTTAAAAACGCGGCAGCGCGTTGCCAAATGTAAATCATTTCTTTATTTAATTCGTTTAATTCGTATCTTTAAAAATGATGTTACGATTCAATTTTGTTGTATCGCTGCAAAAAAATTTTGTTCCATAATGTCTTCAGAAACTAAAGCAGAAACTTCAAGCGGTAGCAATAAAATTAACGGAAAAGCTAAAGGAAATTTAAATAGTTATTTATTACTTTATAATGCAGCTTCCTGGGCTGGTTGGACTTACGTTCTTACAGTATCTGTGTTGGAGTTATTTAAAAATGGAGGGGACGTTACAAAATTATATGATAGAATTGGGTGGACATTAACACTAGTACAAACTGCTGCTATCTTGGAGGTATTTTCAAATGATTGTTGTACATTAAGCTTTTATGAAATAACCAATTTTTGATTTCGCTATACAATACTACAGATATTTCATGTTCTTTTAGGTAAATTTTGAATTCAAATAAATCTCGAATCGATATATATATATATATATATATATCAAGATGAATCTATTCATTGATCTTATTTTAATATTAATAGGACTTGTAAGATCTCCTTTCATAACTACAGTGATTCAAGTTAGTTCACGTCTAACTCTCGTTTGGTTAATTGTGAATAAATTTCCAGAGGTAAAATACATTCCTACTTAAAATTTAGACCAAGATTATTAAAATTATTAATTCTTTTTAGGTAAGATCTCATTGGGCATTTACAAGCATGACAATTGCATGGAGTATAACTGAATGTATTCGGTATGCATTTTATGGTTTAAATCTTATAGGAAACCAACCAGGCTGGTTGTTATGGTGCAGGTAATTTATCCTTTTTTTTTTAATTGCCTTTGATAAATTATTAATTAAATCTGTCCTTTCGTAAAGGTATACATTTTTTTTTATATTATATCCTGTTGGGGCAGGTAGTGAATCAATTTTAGTATTTGAATCATTACGGTTCGCTATAAGGATTAGTCAATCTTTTTATTGGATATTGGTTATATTATTATTAATTTATGTACCAGGATTTTATACAATGTATAATCATATGATTGGTCAACGTAGAAAAATTTTGGGTAAAGGAAAAGTAAAGAAAAATCAATAATCACGCGGATGCATTATGATAAGGATATTTTAAGTAAAATTTTTCGCGCAATTTAGTTGATTAGTTTTTGCTACTATATGCGGCAAAAAAGTAATCGGAAATTTGCCAAATGAACTAATTGTATAAAATTTTATCTTATTTCTTTGTCTCATAATCGATTTTTTTTTTTTTCAAAACAACCCATTAAAAGTTTTAAGCAAGGTAAAAATTTAATAAAATATAATTATAATAAAAAATTATAAACATAAAAATATTGATTTATTAAAAAAATTTGGTTGTTACTTAATTAGTTAGTTTTTCTATAAATTGACATTAAAGTTGACTCAAAAATCATTAAAATAAAGATTTTAGATATATTACACTTGTTTTAATTGATATTTTTCATATATTTTAAATCAGAATTTCAGACTAAATATTTTACAATTTTTTTTTGAATTAAAAAATCAATTGTGAGACAAATAAATAAGATAAAAGGCTGATAATTTATATACGTAATAGTGATACATTTGGCAACAAATCTACAAAATTTGAAGCAATTTAATCATTGGTTTCTCGTTTATCGCATTTTTTTGCATTTTTTGCCAGCACTGTAACTAAATTTATATACAGTAGTAATCACTTCTAGTTTATTCATTGATAAGTCTATTATTTTATTATTTCATAGAAATTTTCTTTTAAATAAAATTGTTTTTAAAGGATGAAATGAAAATAAAGGAGTTCATTTATCCAAAAGTAAATTGAGAACCACCACCACCGGGAGGTCTCAAAATACTAATAACAAAGTTTGGATTAATATTTGATTAACATAAATTAACGTTATCATCAAAACGACATAACTCTCTACTCACCGACTTGAAGGTTTAACAGAAGAACGTTGCGGTGGTGGATTACCTCCATCGTCACCCAATTCAACGGATGATTCGATCTGAGATTTTCCTCGTCTTCTTGAAGATCCTGTTATGGAAGAAGTATCATGTTGCGAATCATCATCGCCTCCAATAGAGAACTGAGAAACATTCTTATTTGAATTGAACCTGCGGTTAGTATCTAAAAAAAAAAAAATTTGCTTGTTAATATCAAACTTAAATTACTAAGTTAATAAAATATTAACATATTTACTTACTATCTTCGGAAGTGGTATCACTATCACCAAAAAGCGAAGATGTTTTACCACCAGTGCCTCCAGGTTGATTGACGCGACTAGTATGACGCTTGCCACGTTGAACAACTGAAATTTTTAAAAAGTATTTAATGATCAAACTTAAATTATATAATGATTAAATGATGTATTTACTTACTATCCTCATGGGCATCACTTCTCATATCATCGAAAATAGTAGATTTACCGCCAGTACCGCCGGGTTGATTGACGCGACTAGACGTATGAACAGGTCGACGACCAGCCGGTTCTATATTTATTGTTTCATATTAAATTATATAATTTATTTTTTTCTTTTCTTAAAAAAAAAATGATTTACCAAACTTACGGTTAAGGTTCATTTTCCCAATACCAGCAGACAAATGATCAGTTTTACCAAATGGATTGAGATGAGCAGATGATATATCGCGTATTGCATCAACTTGTCTATCACTAACAATAGGCCAAGAGTTCTTATCGGAAATTCTGTATGATATATTGAATAGTTAATTATAGTGACATATTATATTTTGCTGCGTGATAATTCAAATATTTACAATCTAAGTTGTTTCAAAGCAGATGCTTGATCCCAATATACACGCTTTTAATTATGATAAATAAAATAAATTATGATTAATAAGATAAATGAGAATTTTACATAAGTCACAAAGATCATAAAATAATTAAAATATCATGTTACGAGATAATCACATACTATGGAAGATATTCTATCACCTTCAAATGATGCAGAAGTAATCTACGATATGAAAAATAAATTAATATCACGGTCAGCTAATATGTACTACATAAAAAACAATAATCTTAACATAGAACTTACGGTAGGAATTACAACTTGATTTTCAATCGTATATCGACTATCAACGCCTGGTACGAGCCAAGCACCATCGCCACTAATAAAATTAATCGTAGTTTCCGATTCTTCAACAACAGAGTTTTCTCCAATAGTTTGGATAATCACTTTTTCTTTTACACTAATTATGCGAGAGTCATATGCTGTAGAAAGAAACTGCCTAACAGCATCATAACCTCTTGCACCAGAAGCAGTTGGTACGAAAACAAATGAAGCATTGTCAGTGAAATGATCACCATCACGTTGCTTTTTGTATTGTTCCCAAACTTCTCTAATAGCCATTCGTATTGAATATTTCGCGTGAAGTAATGTGAATAATAAATAATATATAAATCGTCGTATTTGCTAAGAAGTTTAAGTTTTCAATTTAATAATAGAAGCCTACAATTCTTCAAATAAAAAATACGCGTCCTCGAAAAAATGAGTTAAAATTACTTTTCAAGACAATGGAACATATTATATTGAACGTATAGTTGCACTGAATGAACATAAATATGGCATCTCATTTTCACAAGTACAAAACCAAATTGAGTGATTCGTCCTCGTGATGCTACAAACTTTTGTACATAGTTTATATTTATCTAGTCTACAATCATTTAATTTGAACCATACAGACTACATCTTTTCTATTAATGAATACTTGTTAAAAAAAAGAAACTCAAGAATGCAGGATAATAATAAGATTTTAACAGACAGACATTAAAGATTTATGATTCCTTTCCTTCTTCTTGTTGCTAAATTAAATTATAATTTAATAACGTACATATTAATTACGTTGCAAATTTTATGAAATATAATTACCAATAGTTGTTGTTGTTCTATAAACCAGGAAGGCAAATTATGAGGCAAAGTGATTAAATCCATATCAAATAACTCGATGAATTGTTCATTTACGTAACGAACTTTATTTCCTGCGTAACTTCGATACTTTATTAAATAAAATAACAGATCATTTTTTATAATTTGCAAAAATAATTGAATTGCCTAATATAACAATTTTTACCTCAGCAACAATTGAGCTAAAATTCCAATTTTGTAATTTACGCAAACATCCAACAAATGTTCCAGTTTCGTGGATACCTGACCTTTACATGCATTTATATTTCAAACTTCATAATTCAATAAAGAAAATAACAAATGAAAACAAGTTTTGTATAAATATTACGTGCACAGAACAAGTATTGGATGATTTCCAACATCCAATGCCATTTCCAACCCATCCTTTATTAATTCTTCACTAACAGGTCGCCATCCGAGATTCGGTTTCCAAATACTTAGGCCTAAATGAACCTTTATAACGTAATATTAAGTAATAAAAAGAATGCAAAAAAAAGAATTGGTAAAAAATTACCAATTTAATATTGTTTTCCTCCAAGAAGTTCAAAACAGCACGAGTAGGAACTTCGGGAGATAATACAAGAGCTGTTTTCAGTTGAAGTGCTTTAATAAAAGAAAAATGAGAGGGGTGTAACATATCCGAGCGATATACGCCCTTTTCAATAATTCCAAATTGTTCAGGTGGAGTCAACATTTTGTAAAGAAAAAAAACTATTGTCTATCGGTGACCAATCTGCCAATCAAATCTATCATCACCCCAAATTTTTAGGACCCTTTTTTTTTCGATTAACATATTCTATTTTTTTATATCGAGAAAAAAAGTTTTCTCCTCTTTCAAATATCGCAAAAACTGAAGGTTAGTGTGATTTGTAATAATCCATCCCGGGCAAATTCATCATCGTTCAGCAGATTTTTTTTACTTTTACGACTTTGTTTATTCTATTGAATATAGAACAGTTTATTTTTGTTTATTAAGAGTTGCGAGAATGACGACGGAATCTGTACAGACTTATGGTCGTAAAGTTAGTATTAATTCCATTTCCACATTTCTACATTTCTTTATAACTTCATATAAAATAAGAACATCATGGTTATGATTAAATTTATCATGTTAGATATTTAATTGATTTATAATGAGAATGATCAAGATCAATCCTACTTTTATTTTCGTATAATTAATTTCATTAATTTATTATATAGAAAACTGCGACCGCTGTTGCACATTGTAAACGTGGTAAAGGCCTTATTAAGATTAATGGGTCTCCAATTCATCTAGTTGAGCCAGAAATTTTAAGGTTCAAGGTTTACGAACCTATTTTAATCTTGGGACAAGAAAAATTCGCTGGTGTAGATATCAGAGTTCGAGTAAAGGGCGGTGGCCATACCTCCCAAGTTTATGCTATCCGCCAGGCGATTGCAAAAGCAATCGTTGCCTTCTATCAAAAGTATGTAGATGAAGCTCAGAAAAAGGAAATCAAGGATACCCTTATCCATTATGACAGAAGTTTATTAGTTGCTGATCCTCGTCGTTGTGAACCAAAGAAGTTTGGAGGTCCAGGTGCTCGTGCACGGTATATAATGTTTATTTATTGCAATTATTATTATTTATTTGATATATTTATTTTATTTACAATATTTTCTTTTTTTTTTTTTTTTAATTTTATTATTTAATTTTTTTTTTTTGTTGTTTTTGTTCCAGGGGATGGATTTGGTGTAGGTAATGCATCACGTATGCGTAAATATTTCCTTTGTATGTTATTTTTTTAAAAAAATTTATCTTACTTTATTTAATAATTTTCTTTAGTTTGGTATTTTTTGATTCCATTTTTAACTTATATTTTTTTTTTTTTTTTTTTTTAATTTAAATATTTAAATAGCTATCAAAAATCCTACCGTAAATATATTAAATTTACTATATTCCTGTTTCGTAAATACATTAATTAAATTACTTATCTATTTTTTCTGTAGGTTAATCTTAATTTTACTTCGATATTCTTAATTTTCAATGTTATATAAATAAATTATCAAAATTGTTGCATTAATTATGAAAAAATTTTATCACGCCGCAGTTAATGAAATTTTTTTTTTATAATAATTCGATTGGACTATGGCTTATAATTTATGAGTCATAATTATTCATATTAAAAATCAATAATATAAATATTCCCAGAAATGGTCGGGCGACTCTACGGGTCACTAAAAAAAGTTGCGTCGCGGTTCGTATATGCTCGAGATCTGCTAAATTTGAATACAGTAAACCTTACGTCGAGCATTATAAGTTCTTTAGCTTCTAAAAGTATAAAAGAACGCGGTTATAATTATTCGGTGAACGCGAATAAACCATTATTAATGAGTTTTAACCCGGTGACACCTGTTCCTCAAGTTAAGGGAGCAGATTTAGAGAATAATAAATTAGATTCGTTTCGTAGCTTTGTAGCATCAATAGTTGCTGAGTTTTCTGGGATATCAGCTGATAATATTTTAGCAATATTAGAAGTCCCGAGAAATCCTGAACATGGGGATATTGCCATTGCAGTTCCTAGATTGCGTGTACAAGGAAATCCAGCACAAATAGCCCAACAATGGGTAGAAAAGGTAACATTTATTGATTGCTTATATATTTTTTTTGTGATTTATTATTTGTTAATATATTTCTTTTTTTATAGTTTTCTCCTAATGAATATATTACTTCATGTACTGCAACAGGACATTACTTAAATTTTAAGATCAATAAATTACTCCTTGCTAATATTCTTCTTGATGATATATATAAACGAAAAGAAAAGTATGGAACAAATCAGTCAGGAGCTGGTAAAAAAGCTCTTGTAGAATTTAGTAGTCCAAACATCGCGAAACCATTTCATGCCGGTCATTTGCGTAGTACTATTATCGGCAACTTTGTTAAAAATGTACATGATGCAAATGGCTGGGAAACAATTGGTTTAAATTATCTTGGAGACTGGGGTAAACAATATGGTAAACTTATTTAATGAATATTCTTTGTGTTCGCGTTTTTGAACATTACATGTTTTTTTAACATATAATACGTATATTATTTACCGATTTAAGGTCTTTTGGCTGTTGGGTTTGAAAAATATGGATCTGAGGAAGATTTACTTAATAATCCTATTAAGCATTTATATGATGTATATGTGAAAATTAATGTAGGTTTTCTTATTGAAATTTTATTAGTTTTAATATAATTGTGAGATCTAATTTATTTATAAATTATAGGAAGATGCTGATAAGAATGAAACAATAAATGATCAAGCTCGTGCTTATTTTAAAAAAATGGAAGAAGGTATGTTGAATTAAAATTTATTTTTTTTAGAAATAATTATTAATATTTTTTTTGATATATTTTCAGGTGACGAGGCGGCACTTTCTTTATGGAAAAAGTTTAGAAATCTCAGCATTGAAAAATATAAGGATACATATGCCCGCCTCAATATTAATTTTGATATTTATTCTGGCGAATCTCAAGTGAGCAATGAAAGCATTAATCGTGCTTTGGAGATATTAAAAGAGAAAAAAATGTTACAAGAATCAGATGGTGCATTAATTATTGATTTGAATCAGTATAAACTGGATGTTGCCGTTGTACAAAAGAAGGATGGTACTACATTATATATTACTAGAGATATTGGAGCTGCTATAGAAAGATATGAAAAATATAAGTTTGATGCAATGTATTATCTTGTTGCTTCACAACAAGATTTACATTTAAAGCAGCTTTTTAAGATATTAGAATTAATGGGCATTGAGTGGGTAGGACGATGTAAACATATTAATTTTGGTATGGTTAGTGGGATGAGCACTCGTAAAGGAACTGCAGTTTTTTTGGATGACATTTTAGAACAAACTAAGGAGTCTATGCATGAAGTAATGAAGCAGAACGAAAAAAAGTATTCACAAGTTGAGAATCCTGATAAAGTAGCGGATATAATTGGTATTTCTGCGGTAATGATTCAGGATATGGCCGCTAAAAGGTAATGATCGTAATTAATAAGTTATATTCACTTGATAATTATATATTTAAAAATATCTTTATTTAGAATTCGTAATTATGCATTTAATTGGAATCGAATGTTTTCCTTTGAAGGTAGGTACGCACGACTTAGTGTTTTTTCCTTATAAGCTCATACTAATATATTAAAATTTATTATAGGGGACACTGGGCCGTATCTTCAATATGCTCACGCTCGTCTTTGTTCAATAGAGCGAAACTGCGGATTTGGAATTAATCCTAATATTGATATTAGTCTTCTTTCAGAAAAATCGGCATTAGATCTTATCGACATGGTTGCACAATATCCTGATTTTGTCAAAGGTGCATTGAATACTTTAGAACCTTGTACGATTGTAACATATGCAATGAAGTTAAGTCATACCATATCTGTTGCTTTAGAGACTTTATGGGTCGTTGGACAAAAAGAACATAAAGTAGCAGAGGCTAGACTATTAATGTACTGGGCTAGTCGGATAACGCTCGGGAATGCCCTTAAGTTATTAGGGTTAAAACCATTAGAGAGAATGTGAACTATTAATTATTAATCAAACAGATTGTAATTTGTATAAGACAATTGTTATATTATTAAAATAATAATAGATTACAAATTAATGAAGTATAATAAATACCGCAGTAAGCATCCGCAGTTAAATCCGCAGCGGTTATATTCAATTTTTTATTGAGTGCGCAATTATCCACGTGATTTATAGGTATTCCTCTTAAATAAGCAATAAATAATTCTGGCAGAATTTATCGTCAAATTCCAGCTGTGATTACTTGTTTTGGGGTTGCTTATTTTCGGAGAATATGATATTAGAACAATTTTATGACAAAAAATTTTTTAATACTGCGGAAGATTTCGTATTTGATATAAAAAGGTGGATCGTACAATACTCATACGAACAGTACCTTTCACTTGGTCCCATCCATCCTCTTTTTATCTCTTTGGCTAATTTATCTGTTGATTATAATGGTAAGATATCACACTCGAGTTTTCTTTTTCATTATAATATTATTTACAATTTAATTTTTTGTGCGGAAAATGTACTCTTCATTTCTTAATATCATATAAAAAGAAATAGACTATTTCATCACACTGACTATTTTCTCTTAATTTTTTTGTTTGATAAAAATGTTTATTAGGTGAACTTTACAGTCGACCAAATTCGCGGTCTTGTATGTATAAATTAAAAAAAGTCTTTTTTGCATTCAATAAAATATAAAATATTAAAAAGAGCAAATTATTATAAAAAAAAAAAAAAAATTAATCGTCTGAGTATCATTGAATTCAAATGAATTAGATGGATCGGGCTACCAACGTGCGCAATATGTCTGTCATCGCACACGTTGACCACGGAAAGTCTACGCTTACCGATTCCTTGGTATCTAAGGCCGGTATTATTTCTGCGCAGAAAGCTGGTGAAGCACGTTTCACAGATACTCGTGCAGATGAGCAAGAACGTTGTATCACTATTAAATCTACGGCAATTTCAATGTATTTTGAATTGCAAAAGGATGACTTAGCAGATGTAAAACAAAAGACTGATGGTATCATCAATTTCCTTAAATTTGAGATTAAATGCTAACTTAGAATTACTAATAATATTTTTGTTATCTTTATTTGATCAGGTAATGAATTCTTAATCAATTTGATCGATTCTCCCGGACACGTAGACTTTTCATCTGAAGTAACAGCTGCCCTTCGAGTTACTGACGGCGCCCTAGTGGTTGTTGATTGTGTTGAGGGTGTATGTGTACAGACTGAGACCGTCTTGCGTCAAGCTCTTACCGAACGAATCAAGCCCGTAGTAATTATTAACAAAGTTGATCGTGCCTTGTTGGAATTACAGCTTACAAAAGAAGATTTATATACTGTTTGTATATGAAGTTAAAATTTTTTTCCTGTAGTTCTTTAATACGAATACATATATATTTAATTATATATATCAATTTGTATTTAGTCTTTCCAACGTACAATCGAATCAGTAAACGTCATCATTTCAACTTACTTCGATAAGGCTCTTGGTGATATTCAAGTTTACCCTGAAAAGGGTACTGTTGCTTTTGGATCCGGTCTTCATGGTTGGGGTTTCACTCTTCGCCAATTTGCCCAACGTTATTCTAAAAAATTCGGTGTTGACAAAGAAAAGATGATGCAAAAACTATGGGGTGAAAACTATTTTAATACTAAAACAAAGAAATGGACCAAACAACCAACGGCTGTAAATGATAAAGGCGATTTATCTGAACGTGCTTTCTGTACATTCGTTTTGGATCCTATCTTTAAATTATTTGATGCTATTATGAACTTTAAGAAGGAGGAAGCTACAAAAATGCTCGAAAAGTTGGAAATTACCCTAAAAAGTGAAGAAAAAGAGTTAGAAGGGAAACCCCTTCTTAAGCTCGTAATGAAAAAATTCTTGCCTGCCGCAGAAGCTTTACTAGAAATGATAGTAATTCATCTTCCATCGCCTGTAGCTGCTCAAAAATATCGTGCTGAAATGTTGTACGAAGGTCCTGCTGATGACGAGTGTGCCATAGGTATACGTGATTGCGATCCTAATGCACCTCTTATGTTGTATGTATCTAAAATGGTACCGACATCTGATAAGGGTCGCTTCTATGCCTTTGGACGTGTATTCTCGGGAACCGTTAAATCTGGTCTTAAAGTTCGTATCCAAGGTCCAAATTATCAACCTGGTAAAAAAGACGATTTGTTCGTTAAATCTATTCAACGTACAATTCTTATGATGGGCCGTTCTGTTGAACCTATCGAAGATTGTCCAGCTGGCAACATCATTGGTCTCGTTGGTGTCGATCAATATTTACTTAAATCCGGTACTATCACCACCTCGGAAGCTGCTCATAATTTGAAAGTTATGAAATTTTCAGTATCACCTGTCGTCAAAATTGCTGTTGAAGTGAAGAATGCAAACGATTTACCTAAATTAGTTGAAGGATTAAAACGACTTTCTAAATCAGATCCTTGTGTTCAAGTTAGTACTTCTGAATCCGGTGAACATATCGTAGCCGGCGCAGGAGAATTACATTTGGAAATTTGCTTAAAGGATTTAGAAGAAGATCATGCTCAAGTCCCAATCAAAACTGGTGAACCAGTGGTATCTTATAGAGAGACTGTCCAAGCTGAATCATCAATAACAGCTTTGTCTAAGTCGCCAAATAAACATAATCGTATATTTATGAAAGCTCTACCAATGCAGGAGGAACTTTCTAATGCTATTGAAAACGGAAAAATTACTCCACGTGATGAATTGAAGGCACGTGCACGTCTTCTTGCTGAAGAATTCGGTTGGGAAGTTACTGATGCTCGTAAGATTTGGTGTTTTGGTCCTGAAACTATTGGTGCAAACTTGTTGGTCGATGTGACTAAGGGAGTCCAATATCTTAATGAAATTAAGGACTCTTGTATTGCTGCCTTCCAATGGGCTACAAAGGAGGGCGTTTGCGCTGAAGAAAACATGCGCTCTTGCCGGTTCAATATTCTTGACGTTGTGTTACACGCTGATGCTATCCATCGTGGTGGTGGCCAAATCATCCCTACTTGTCGTCGTGTTATATATGCAGCAGCTTTAACAGCTATTCCTGGTCTCTTGGAACCTGTTTTTCTTGCAGAAATACAATGCCCAGAAACTGCTATGGGCGGTATCTATGGAGTCTTGAATAGACGTCGTGGCCACGTTTTTACTGAAGAACAGCGTCCTGGTACTCCATTGTACAACGTAAAAGCTTACTTACCCGTAAGTGCAAGTTTTATTGTAGTAATTTGTTTATATAAATGTGTATTTGTAATTTTTAATTTAATCTAATTTTTTAAAATGTTTATGCTGTAGGTAAATGAATCCTTCGGTTTCACCGCAGATCTTCGTTCAAACACAGGAGGACAAGCTTTCCCTCAATGTGTATTCTCTCATTGGCAACTTATGAATGGAAATCCATTAGAAGCCGGTAAAGTAGCAGATATTGTAAGGGGAATAAGAAAGAGAAAAGGACTCAGCGAAGAAGTATGTATTACATTTCATTATGTCGAATGTTTATGTTTTTTTCATTTACGTGATCATATTCAAATTAATAATTAAAATTTATAGATTCCTAGCTTGGATAAATACCTTGATAAGTTATAAACACGTGATCCAATCATTTTGTGCCCAAATTTAAAAATGTAATAGTGGGTTAAATAAATATTAATAATTATAAACATTTTATTTAAAAAAAAAAATTTCCTTTTAATAAATGTATTTGCGAAATTTCATTTTTATTTTTTTACCTCGTGAAAATATTTAAAATTCTAAAATACAAAAGGGGCGTGAATTAACAAAAAAAGTGTAAAATCTTCTTGAATAAAAAATCTACTACACTATTAATTATTAATATGATTTACATCCTTGATATATTTAATGAATCCATCCTTTAATATGGCCATCTTTCATTTGAGGTTCTAGAAATCCGCGAAAAATTATTATTGGTTTGTCATCACTCGCGTAAGATGATATTGTACCTTGCAAAGATTGAGATGACGGTTGTGTATTAGAATCTTGAATTTCCCAACGAGCACCATAACCTTCCGAATTACGAATTTCAAAAACGCGTGTATCATGCTATAATCGAATACTTGGTAATTTTAGTGAAATTATGAAATGTTAAATGAATTTTTGCTCAACTTACCACCATTGAATGCAAATTTATCCATGCGGCATCCATTATAATTTTTGCCAAAATTCGGTTAGCTTGCTCATTTTTTTGTTTTTCAGCTAAAATTAAAATTAAAAATTGAATCAATTTTAAATATGATTTATCCTTATAAAGCAAATATAACTTACTTCCACTACAAGTTCCCCAAAAAGAATTTGAAAGATCTCTATGAAAATGTTTAGAAAAAGCTTTAGCACCTACGGTAAGAAAATTATTTGCAGCCGAACCTTTAATTCGTGGCTTGGCATTCTTTTTATTATAACGCTTTGTAAAAGATTTTATACAATCATTCAATGAAGGAGGTAATTGATTAGATGATCCTGCTGTAGTACGTAATCCTAAAAATGTATTTAAATCTTTAGGATCTAAAAACGTAAATAGAAATTCTTGAAGTATCTCTTTATGCGATTCATTAAATAGTGAAGTTGAAATTTGAGGTAATTCATTTGTTATACGTTTAATTTCATCTTCTATTTGTTCCAATCTAGACTTTGATTAATCGAAAATGTTTTTTTTTATACGATTAATTTCCGTTCAACATATACGTTTTATTAAAGAGTTCAGAAAATTTAAAAAAAATTTACCTTGATAAATTTTTATTTTCTAACATAGATAACTGACTTGTTTTAAATTCCACTGGAAATTTACCATTTTCAAAACATTTGTAAAGCAATTCTATAAATGCTAAATAAAATGGTCTTTCAATGATTCCATTTTTAAATCTTGAATTCTGATTTCGTTGTGGAATATTTATACAATCAAATAAATGTGTTGTAATTTCGTCAAATTGCTGTTCATTCTGGATAAAATAAATTTAGTAATTTAAGTACAAAAGCATAAACTAACAAGGATTTTGATAAAAATAAGTTATACTTGATTTTCTTCTCGCAACAATTCTTTACACAGTGATGGCCACGATACGAGATTATCCGAATTCTCCTGTGCTTTATCATGTAAAAGTTCTTTTATTATTTCGGAAAATTTCATTTTTTCGAAAAACCAATTTACTATATTTGTTTGTGTATCATACATTTTTTAAAATACTTGTATCACGTGCATCGTGCGAAAGTAAAATATAAATATGATCATAATTTTATTAATTTTTTTTTTGTTACAAAGAAAAATAAAATTATTTTTTTATTCGTTAAAAGCATTATATCCATTTTTATTATTGTTACGTGCTCTTCTTGCACGAACACCTTCACGTAAAAGATCCAAAACTTGAATTGTAGTTTCCCAACTAATACATGCATCTGTAATAGACTGACCATAAACGAGATTGGATGGTCCTTCTACTGGAAGATCTTGACGACCTAATAAAATATGTGTGAGATTGGAATTGAAGCAAAGATTTTGAAAATTTTGCATTCATTACCTTCTTTTAAATGGCTTTCAATCATTACACCAACAATATTATGTCCTGTTGGAGATGATTTTAATTGTTCGGCCTGTTAAGTAAAGAAATTGTCAGATTAACTTAATGCCTCAAATTCCTTAAATATTACGATTCCCAAGTGGCAAAGTTGAACTTACGATGTCTTTAGCCACATCAACTTGACGACTGAATACTTTTGAACTGTTTCCATGACTGCAATCAATCATTATGCGAGCAGGTAATTTTTCTGACTCTAATTTTTGAACCACATTTTGGACGTGCTCAGCTGAATAATTTGGTCCTTGGGCGCCACCTCTTAGAATAACGTGACAGCTTTCATTACCCTAATGTACAAAAATTAAAAGTTTTAATCTAAGTTAAAGGTAAAGAGGTTAAAATAAAAATATTTACATCTGTTTCCACAATTGCACTTAATCCTTGTTTTGTGACTGATAAAAAGTGATGCCCGCTGCGGGCTGCTTTTATGGCATCGACAGCAATCCCTATGTTTCCGTCAGTTCCTATGAAAGGAAAATTTTTTTCAGAAAATTTCCAATTTACTTTTTTTTATTATTTTTATTATATTATTCATTTATACCGTTTTTGAAACCAACGGGAACAGATAAACCGGAGGCAAGTTCACGATGAACCTGAGATTCTGTCGTTCTCGCTCCAATTGCTCCTTATATGAAAATCAATTAAACATAATTTCAAGTTAAGCGAACAAAAACATTAAAATTCGATTAAATATCTCACCCCAAGATACTAAATCTGCTATATATTGAGGAGTAATTGTATCAAGGAATTCGCATCCGCATGGAATACCTATTTTATTCTATTTAAAAGTTAATAAATTTATCACATGATACCAATATAAAGTCAAAATGAGTCACAAAAAAAACCGCGTACTATTTCTAACAACAAATTACGAGCAATACGTAATCCTTTATTGATTTGGAAGCTGAAAAAGTTAAAATTGGTTTAGAATTTAGTTTAATCTCGCTGTTTGATATAAATATGTTTACTGTCATGTACCTATTGTTTAAGTGAGGGTCATTGATTAATCCTTTCCAACCCACTGTGGTTCTTGGTTTTTCAAAATAGACTCGCATGATAATGAAAAGTTCACTAGCTTCAGAAGCATAAGCCTTTAATCTTCCGGCTAAGTGCATAAGAATAACGAGATTTTGATATAATTAGTAACTTTTACATAAAGACTAAAAAAATGGGCAAGAATTACAATTATGAACCATATTCAATAGCAGCTCTGACGTCGTGTACAGAACAAGGGCCGACAATTACGATCAATCTATCGTCTTGTCCTTTTATAATGGCTTCGGCAGTTGCACGACCAATTATAACACTCTGAGCTGCTTGTATTGTCAAAGGTAGATCTTCCATCAAGATTTGAGGTGGAATAAGAGGTTTAATTTGTTTGATACGTTTATCATCAAGCTCATTAAGAGCTAAGGAACAATTAGAAAAACTAGATTAATTTTTTAATCGTAAATTTTTTTTAAAAAAAGAAAATTCATTAATTTATTCCTATGAACACACCATCGCGAACAGCCATTCTGTTATTTTCTGACATATTTTATTTTAATATTTTTAAGTATATTTTAGGAAAAAAAAATTTATTAGATTTCAATGTAAAAAATTTCATCATTTAAATAGATTTTTTTTAATTAAGATAAATTTTTTTTAGATAAACCTGATAACAGAACAATATTAGATTATCGACAATTTATGAGTCATATTTCGTGTTCATCAAAATCGTGTAAGCCTCCCATAGCCACCATTTATGAATTTTTTTTACTATTAAAATTCTATAGAAAGCAACAGTATAAAATTTACCGAAAAAGGTCATTTTCATTTTTTGTGAATTTTTAGTCATTACCATAATTAGTATTATCATATAAATTAATCTATCACCATTGACAAAGTTTAATTTTCTTTTTTCGTTACTAATCATTTTATTTATATTTTTGAAGATTATTTTTCAAAAATGGTATTTTATTTCCAATTAATCTATACTTATTACATTCAATGGCCATATACTTAATACTTTCATTTAAAATTTCCAAAAAAAAATTGATTTGGAAAAAATCTATAGCTGCCACTTTCTTTGTTAAACACAGCTCAAGGACACCCTATGGTAACATTTTAAAATAGAGTCGATGATCTACCAAATTAATTTGATCTAATCTTTCTTTATATTGATTAGTTGGTAGAATTAAAAAACGGGGAAACATTTAATGGTCATTTAGTAAATTGTGACAATTGGATGAATTTAACTTTACGTGAAGTTATACAAACCTCTCCGGTAAGATCGTTTGAAAAATTCATATAATTTTGATCCAAAAAATTAGAACCTTATCTTAATTGGGCATTTCATTTATTTGTAAACAGGAAGGAGATAGGTTTTGGCGATTACCTGAATGCTATATCAGAGGGAATACGGTAAATATTACTATTTTTATTGAAATTTATATTCCGTATTGACTTCATTGTTTTGATCTTTATTAAATTAGATTAAATATTTGCGTGTACCAGATGAGGTATGTATTGTATTTAATTGATTTAAAATGGTTTCTCTTAATCATTATTTAATTATTTTATTTAATATTTCAGATCATGGAAATGGTAAAGGAGGATACTTTACGACAAAGACCAGGGCCAAGCAGTGGAAATCGAGGACGTAAGTAGTTCTAATCGATTGAATATTCATTATTATTCTTAATCTAATTATTTATATTAAAAAAAAAAAAATTTAATTGAACAGGTGGTTCTCGTGGTGGAAATACTGGTAGAGGTTTGTCCTTTTCGTCGCTAATTTTTTTTTTATTAAACTAATTAGCTATTTTTATAGGAGGAAGCAGAGCCGGAAGCTCTAGTGGCCGTGGAGGAGGTAGTGGTGGCGGTGGCGGGAGAGGAAAATCCAAGAACCGATAACAGTATCATATTTATATTATGCCGGTAATTTTAGAATATATAAGGATATTGATAAACATAATATAAAATTAAAGCTATAGTCAATGAGAGCCATAATGACAAAGGGTTCAGTAAAGAAAATGGGGAAGAATCTTTAATTAATTGCATAAGAATTTCTTCTAGAGTATTAACAAAAGCTTCCAAAGAAAATATTTTTTGAACATGTTTTCTTCCTTGATCTCCCATATTGTCACGATCATATTCACCATTAATAAAAGAAGCGATTGCTTGTGAAAATGCCATAGGAGTAGATGAACAAAGGAGTCCTGTGATGCGATCTTTTACTGTTTCCTTTGGACCACCATTATTAATTGCTATAACTGGCAAACGAGCATACATTGCTTCTACAGGTACAATTCCAAAATGTTCATTTGATGGAGTATATAAAAGACATAATGCTTTTGAAAGCAAATAAGTTCGTTGTGGTTCATTAAAAGAACATAAGAAAATGACTTGAGAATTTTCTGAATTTTCTGGTAGTAATTCTGCTGAACCTGGCATTAATGTAGAAGGCTTTAGCTCTAGTTTTGATGCCTCTTGATATAACTCTTTATGATGATCCACATTTTCTTGGACACGATAATCGTATCCACCAGCTATAACTAACCGTAAATTATTAAATTGATTGGCTGATATTAAATTATCATCGCGTAATTTTGCAAAGGCGTGAATTGCAAGTATGATATTCTTTTTTCTTTCAAATCGATTAATTGATAATATAATCTTTTTCGATCTAAAAAAGGGATGAATTGTTTAATATTCTTAAAAGAAAATAAATGAGTTCTAATACTTACGTTTCTAATATCTCAACAGATTTATCTTTTAAATCAACTTTTTTATCGTATGAATCAAAATGTATCCCCGGATAAAGCACTCGTGGTGTACGTTTTATATGGGGAAATGATTCATGAAATATCTTTGCAGTAAATTTACTATTAACTACTATACAATTCGCCATATCTAATAAAATGGGTAATGAATAAATAATGCAGTACAGTATATAGCCTAATTCCGGATAAAAAGTCTTACCAGTTGTCAATTCTTCTATTAAATCAACCGGATATCTGTAAATTTTTTTTATTAATGATTCTCTTTGTGTTAATAACTTATCAGGAAAATGGCAATAAAATAAAACCTGTTTATGAGAATTAAAAGAATGTGAATGATTTTTTTTAAATCTTAAAAATAAATTGCTATACACAGTACCTTTGCACCAGTCAATCTTAATAATGGCACACTTGCGGATAACTGGTCCACAAATATAACGTCATATTTTGCTCTATCCCAAAATATCATCGAAAGGGTCAAATGAATTTGTCTTAATATAGCACATATAATATAAAATGACCCAAAGAATGTACGTGGTATAATATAATTTCCGCGAACTCGGACCTCAAGTGTATCATTTCTGGTTTCCTCAAAACAATGTGTTGGGTCGTGGTGAGAAGTGTAAATAACGACTTGATGACCTTTAGTTTGTAAACCAACAGCTGCGTCGACTACTAGTCGCTCTGCACCACCTATTATTATAAAAATAGTTTAATAAGTTAAAAACTAAAAAATTCGAATGATATATACCTATTCCAAGGTCCGGATGCACGAAAGCTAACTTTAAAATTTGTGAAGACATAATTTTTGTATGGGCGAGAACAAATTTTTGAATCTAGGATAACAAGTTTTAATCAAGGTGACACTAACACTAAATTAGTAAAATATATCTAATAAATTTTAAAATTATATAAATGTATTAAAAATTTCTTTTTTTTAAAAAAAAATTTATACAATGGAGGTATTTTATCTTCTTTAACTTATTCTCTGTTCTTTTTACTTTCCTACTTTCTATCTTTCTCATTCTCTTTCTGATATTTAACTCTTAACAGCATCCTCCAAATCAGGTTTACTTTCGCGTCAAGCGTCATAAATCCACAATATTTTTACCGGCTAAAACAACTGATAAAATATTAACATTAAAGAAAAATATTATAAAAATATTAGATTCCGAAAAATTAGATTCAAAAAAAATAAAATTACTGATATCCACAGATGATTCTGAACCGCCACTTTCTTATTCTTCTCTGGATAGAGATGAAGATACTGTTGCTCAATCAGGGTTAAAAGATGAGCAGGTTCTATTTTTATGCTTGTGGGATGATAATTTGGGTATGTTTAATGAATTCTTTAAGAATTTCTTTGTTCTTCTTTTAACTTTTTTAATTATAAAAACAAGATACTTGTTCGACTGAGATCTTATTTAACGAGTTAAAATTTAAATGATTAATATAAAAGGCCAATGGGAAAATGTTTCTGTGGAATATCCAGATCCTTATGACGAAGCTGTTGAGGATGAAGATGAACCTATGGATGAGGATGATGAGATGAATGAAAAGAATGATATAGATACTATTTTGGAAGATGGAAAAGGAAAAGCCAAAGCTTAGAAAAAATACTGGATGGTGGAAATAATGTAAATTTTTTCCAAATTAAAATTCCCATAATTCTTTTTCATATTTTTATGTATATGTGTCTAAAAGAAAGAATTCGTGTCGTAAAGTGAAATGTAATATGCCGAAATGTAATATGAGAATTTCTTTAAGATTATTTTATCCAAAATAATTTAACTTATTCGCTAATACAATTAAATTCTTAATTTACTTTTGTATCATTTTTACTTTTCGAATCGCGCTTTAAAAATAATTAAAATCATTAAAATCGTTCTCAAGACATGACGCGCTAGTTCGATATTATATTATGTGTACGTAATGCAACAACTACCAGAATTTGTTAGCCAATAAGAAATAAATATTTTTTTACATATATAGTAATGATCTAATTATCAGGAAAATCCTTTTTTTTTTTTATTTTGTTGATAGGTTGATAGTACATTTTTGAATTTAAATCTTTAAATGCCCTCAGCAACGGATTCTAAACATGTTATTATAGGCCTAAGAATAGGCCAAAGTTATTCTAGTATCGCAATCATTAATAAGGTACGTCGTATACACTTATGTTTTTAAGTATTAATCGGGTAGAATTAAAATTTTTCAAATTTTTCAAGGATGGAAGAGCAGATTGCATTGCTAATGAGGACGGAGAACGTCAAATACCTACAATGGTAGCATTTTCCGGTGAAGAAGAGGTGAGTTATTTAAAGTTGAATCAAGTAATAGTTAATTGTAATTTATCATAAGCTTTTTCTTTATTTTTAATTAGCTTACTGGAACTCAGGCTAGAGTACAATTACTAAGTAATGCAAAAAATACAATTACTCAGTTTCGTAATTTTATCGGGAAAAGGTATTTTTATTCCACGTCTTTTCTTTAGAAGTTGTTTCAATTTTATTTATTCCATTTATTTTATAAGTTATGAAGAATGTAAATCAATAGCAAATGCAGGCACAGCACAATTAGTTGACAAAGATGGACAAGCAGCATATAAAGTGGAATTTAAAGGAGAAACAATAGTAACAGTACAAGAAGTATGTACAAAGTATATAACAAGCTTAAGAGAAAGTGCCGAGAATTTTTTAGGTCAATCGGTTACTGGAACTGTATTAGCAATACCAACTTATTTTACTGAAGAACAAAAAGATTCATTAAAAATAGCAACAGAAAAAGCAGGATTGAGAGTATTACAATTAATTAATGAACCAAGTGCAGCAGCATTAGCATATGAATTAGGATATGTCGCAAATAGTGGACAAAAATTAATGACAGTTAATAAATATGATGATAGGACCGATGTTATTGTAGATTTAGGATCTGATAGTTTAGATGTTTCAGTGATGTCAGTTAGATCAGGAATGTACACTGTACTAGGAACAACTCATGGTCCTGATCTTGGTGGTGCTGCTTTTGATGAATTATTAGTAAAACATTTTGCTAGTGAATTTAAAAGAAAAACTAAAATTGATATTATGGATAATAAAAGAGCTTTAGTTAAATTGAGAAATGCTGTAGAAATAACAAAGAAAACTTTATCTTCTAATTCAACTGCCCCTTGTTCTGTTGAATCTTTGGCTGAAGGAATTGATTTTCATGGAAATATAAATAGGACAAGATTTGAAATTATGGCAAATAAATTATTTTCTAAAAATTTGGAAATTATTTCCGAGGCTTTAAAGGAAAATGGTCTCGAACCTCAATCGATTGACGAAGTAAGTTAATTAATGAAAGTTTTTTAAAATTTTATTGAAAATAGGTACGCGAAACCACCCCAGAACAATTTTGTTCTTTCTTTTTAACAGATTTCTCTTACTATTATATAGGTAATTCTTTGTGGAGGAGCTTCACGTATTCCAAAACTTCAATCGAAAATACGTGAAATGTTCGTAAATCCTTCTACATTAATTCGTCAAGATTTTGAACCCGAAGAAGTTGTAGCATATGGATGTGCATTTCAAGGTTCATTAATCTCGAATTATGCGGACACATTAATTAATGACAGTATTAACTCTTCAACAACTTTTACACCACACTTGTTAAAATCAATTGGAATCGTAAATGCTAAGCAAGAATTTATAACATTGATACCAGAAAATACTCCTTTACCAGTTCGTCGTAATTTTACATTTTCAAATTATTTAGAAAATCAGAAAGAAATTTATATCACTATTTGGGAAGGTGTACAAAAACACCAGGAAGATGAAAAAAAAGCCGAAGAGGAAAAGAATGATGAAAAGGAGGAAGGAGAAGGAGAAATTAAGATACCACAACGTCCTATAAATGTACCGGATAAATTATTGGCTGAAATGGTTTTAAAAAATTTACCAGAGAAAAAAACTAACGAATTAAAAATTGATATTACTATTGAGGTGAATATAGACAATAAGTGTATAATTATGGCAAAAGAAATTGCTACTGATAAAAAATTAGAAATTGTAATTGAGGGTAATACAAAATAAAAAGCATATAAAATAATTTACTAAATTCGATTATTCCGTGTTTTTGCAAAAATACATTGATCTATCCGTATACCCGTAACCCGTATGACGGATAAGCCGATATCGATGGCTGGGTTGTCCGGATATCAATCCGGTTAATCCGGTTAGCTCCAAGTTATCCTTAAAACGGTGTAATATTCAAAAAGGAATATTCATATATGGATAGAATAAAGTGGCTGATTAGCCGGATAGACCCATCTACATTTTTCGCTTTAACATTTTTAATTAAGAATAAGTACAAGCAGCAAAATGAGGTCGATATTTATTTATTTTCTCGCTGAACTTCATCAACGTAATCATATCCAGAATTTTCAGTTACTAATTCGGAAAAAGGATCTCCAGCATCAACATCCAAAACTTCTTCATTTTTATTTAACGGTATAACTAATTTCTGAGCATGTAACATCATACGCCAAGTATCGGTATAATCCATAATTTGTCTTTCATAATGCCAATCGCCTACAATAGGATGATTTAAAAATTGACAATGTAATCTTAATTGATGTCTCCTGCCTGTTATAGGGTGAAGTCTAATTAATGTTACTTGTATATATTCTGAAGGTGAAAGTGGCGGTGTTGTTGATGAGGATGGCGGTAAAGAAGAATTAAAATATCCTCGACGAAGGACTTTTATTTCTGTTTTTGAGGACTTTTAAAACGTAAGAATGAAATAGTTCGAATTGAAATAAAATATATAACTTTTGATATATTACCTTTCCTGGATTATCTTCTGTACCAATACACATTCGATATCTATTATTTGGTACATCTGCAATAGGTTGTTCAACCACATAACTAAGAAAAAAAGAATTAATACGAGATCATCCTTTCGTGTTTGTTCTTTTAAAATTTACCTATCATTTTTCATCCAACCTCTGACGATAGCTAAATAATACTTATCAACTTTACGTTTAGCAAAAGCAACACTCGCTATACCAGCGGACTTTTTTGTTAATGCTAAACAATAACAACCTGATGTTGCATGATCAAGTTGATGTACATTTCTTAATGGTTTTGGTAAATTTGGAATTTGATTATAAAGAAGGGATAAAACTATATACATAATAAATAATATTGTATATTCCTTTAAAAAAAATGTATAAATTCGAAATTGAAAATTTTTTTTGATTACCTGTATGTCCTTTCGACGTATCACCATCAATCCTAACATCATAGCTATATACTGGAGTTAATATTAATTATATTAATTAAAATAGCATTAATTTTTCATTACTTACGGTTTATCTATAACCAAGAATTCTTCATTATGAAATAGTATCTTGATTTTTGGTATTTCATAATATTTAGCTATATCATTATTCTTATTAACATCGATTTTAAACCTTTGAGTTTGTTCACGTTTATTCATTTTTGAAGCATTGTGAAAATTTAAAATTTCTCAATTTTTATCGACCCGATTTTGAGTCACGTTTTTATAACAAATAAGGTGATTTCTTCGTAAATCATTAAGTAGCTTTATACAACAGCAATTTCAATTTAAAGAGAATAAATTATTCGATGTCTCAAAATTCCCGAATATCGTCGGTACTATCTTCAAATGAGACTCGCTTAATTAAGCGTGTTTCGATTGTAGAAAGGAATTTGAATAAAACAAAAGGAGCAGAGGTAAAAAAAGCTTATGTTCGAGTTTTCAACATTTAATTGTTCTTACTTCTTACTCTTTTTAATTTATAGGTTGGGCTTGGAGCTTTTGCGTTTCTTTTTTCAGAAATGCTACAGTATGCACAAAAAAGAGTACATGGGATTCAAGATCTTGAACGCAAGTGAGTTTTTAAAGGAAGTTTATCTGTCAACAATCAATTACAATTATCTCACTAATTACCTAATTAATTAACGAAAGATTGAATGATTTTGGATATCGGGTAGGAACTCGTCTATTAGAATTAATTGTTTGGAGAGATAAAAATAGTAAAAGGGAGACACGTGTTTTAGGTATATTATATTTTATTCATACCACGGTTTGGAAAACACTATTTGGTAAACAAGCAGATACTTTAGAAAAGAGTACAGAAAATGAAAACGAATGTATCCTTGATATTATTATAAGGTTTTCTTAAATATTTAAATAATAATTTTATATATCTTAACTATGAGGACAGATATGATTTCAGATAATGATCCTTTGATAAGTAAGTATATTTCAGTACCCAAAGAATTATCTGAATTAAATTGTAATTCGTTTCTAGCAGGAATTGTTGAAGCAATATTGGATGGGGCTCAATTCGTAAGTTAATTTTTTGATTAAATTTTTTTCCTTAAATATCTAATTTTGTTTATTTATTTAGCCTTCTCGAGTTACTGCTCATACGCTGCCAATTGATGGTTTCCCCTTACGCACAACTATATTTATCCAATTAGACAAAGAAATTTTACAAAGAGAGGATCAACTCAAATAAAAGTCTATAGACCGACTATTTAATGATTTTTTAGGAATTTCTTTATGTATTTTTTTTTTTAATTTTACTACAAGAAAATTAAATTAAAATTATTTTTGCTTCTTTGTTCCAAGAGAAGCACGCTTTCCTTGACCTGTAAATACAAATTATAAATTGATATAATTCAATGTATATAACAAGTTAAAATAACTTAACATACCTTTCTTTGGAGCTCCTTTACCACGTTTCTTTCTTTTAGCAATTTCTTCTAGTCGTAATTTCTCTTCTTGATTAACTAATTTCATACCCGGAAACGTATCAGTAATTTTACGTAAAGTTATTATTCTATGTGGATACCACCCTGTTATGGTAGATCCAATGAGTCTTTTGCGAAGTATTTTATTTCCAGTTCTTTCCCCTGTTGGATTATATACATTATTAAATATTTTAGCGGATAATTGTGCTAATTGTGACAAGCGCGTTTTACTTGGTATACTTGGTATTATTGAAGCCATTATTTTATAAACAGATAACTATGATTTCAGTTTACAGTATGATCATCAAGATTTCGCGAGTAAAATTAAATTTATCACATGACTTCTATCTCTAAAACATGTCTTCGACTCGAAAGTTGACGCGACTTAATCCTAAGTTAGGCAAAAAAACAATATATAAACTCAATAGTTTTCCGCGTACACCAGTTAATACAACAAAAGAATTGTTTAGTCGTACTGAACTTGAGTTAGTAGAATGTTGTAATTTTAAAGTCGAAACTGCAAGAAATATCCAAAAACGAGCTGCCAAATGGATCGTACCGGAATTCGTATCCGTATGATATCACGTTTTTAAATTTAAATAACTTTATATATGAAATAAATAAATAAATAAATATTTTGATTGTAATAGGTGTTGGATATGATGACAGAAAATAATTCACCATTTTTGGCAACTTCATTAAAAGGGTTAGATGAAGCTTTAAGTGGTGGAATACCATTTTCTTCCATAACTGAACTTGTTGGTCCAACTAGATCTGGTAAAACACAACTCTGTCTGACACTTTCAATGTTAACGACATTACCAGAAACCATGGGTGGACTTGGAGGAGGAGTGTGTTACATTGACACCGAGCGAAGTTTTAATGCGGATAGGTAAAAAGCGAACAACGCGTAAAAAAACCAGTTTTTTTGGTTATTTATGCGAAAATTTGTTTAATTTAGATTAATAGTCATAGCTGAGAACCGATTTCCTCAGTACTTTGGTAAAGATGAACGAGGTCAAGCCAATCTTGATAAAATGACATCATCCATCCATAAAATGGATATCACGTCTTCAAAGGAATTAACAAAAAGGTAAAAAGAAACTGTTACATCAAAAATTTTACGCTTATTAAAGTTATCTTCTTTTTCTAGATTGGATGAGCTTCAAGAATTCATAATTGAAAATGATGTTAAATTATTAATAGTAGATTCGATTGGATCTCTTGTTAGAAAAGAATATCAGAATCCTGTAAAGAAATGTGGTTGGGGAGGACCTTTAATGGAAAGAAACGATATATTACTTCAACAGGCTTCAAAACTGAAGAATTTATTAATTTTAAAATTTCGATTTGAGTTATTTTTTTTTTTTCGTGTATATGCGATTAAGACGTAATTTCTTTATTCGTAGATATCTAGCTGAATCGTTTCGTATACCTGTAGTAGTAACTAATCAAGTAATCACCAGAAATCGAAGTGAAACGGTATTACCAAGAGAATGTTTCCGTCCAATAAAAAAATCACGCGAGGAAGGTATTTTTTCTTTTTTTTGTTAAAAAAAATGAAAAATAAAAAAAAATAATTGATTATTTTTTTTAAAAAAAAATTGCGAATAGGGCCAGAAGTCACAGCAGCATTAGGAAATACATGGGCACATTCTGTTACTACACGTATAATGATGAATAAATTTCACATTAGAAATTTATCGAATTTGAAGTTTACAATATTAAATGATTTATTTCCGCCAAATTTACAAGAATTAACAATTGTAAAATCACCTATTGCTGCAAATATTACAATTTATTATACTATTGAAAATGAAGGAATTGTGGAATTTGTTTATTCGGAAAACATAGAGAAAGAGGATAAACGACAACAAGAGGAAGAAATTGGTCCTATGGAAGAAACTGATAAAAGTGACGCGGTTCCAAGTCAATCGTTGGATAAAAAGAAAAGAAAGTCTGATGTTGCTGAATGGTTTATATCAGCATTGTGGGCGTAATATTGTAATAATATATGTATTATGTCACCTATCTGTTTTTTTTTAATAAAATAATGTTGATTAAACTTTCGATTATATAAAATTTTTTGATACTTATCTACCTTTTTGATTTAGTTATAAACCATTAAGCTAATAAATAAATTGTACTTTTAAATGTTTTAACGAATCTGAATTGTAAATAGTTGAATATACCATTGAACAACATAATTTTATTTACATAATATATATAACAATTATAACTAATATAGATATAAATATTTCGGAATATTAGATAATTAATTTATTTATATAAATAAGATGGTTTACATAGTTATTGAATTGAATCTATATATATGTTTTATATGATTATTTTCAATACTTCAAAATTTTTCATATCATAAAAACTAGTTACTTTAATTAGTAATTAAATAAAAATAAAAGTAAAGTTACAATTAAATTGTATATTTATATACATATATTGATATATATATATATAAATATACTGTATATATATGTATATTTCCATTGCTAATTCTGGCAACGTCTTAATCTATCATTGGCAATATTCATCATATCTAATAAACCTCTTTTTAATTCATCATCTCGATTTCCATTCTCTAATTTATCTTGTAATATAGGAATGATTTCTTTTCTTGATCTACCATTAACAAAAATAACAAACCGAAAACCAAACTTTTCTTCGTATTTATAATTTAATTCCTGTAGTATTGTATTAACAATTTCATCTTCATTTACGGTATTTGATTCATTTTGACTTAAATCATTATTTGTTGAATAACCTTGTTCCTTTAAAGATAATGAAGAAAGATTTTTTTTATTTTCACCTAAGCGTGGATGTGCATTAATTATTTCAAGTTTTTGTGAAAATGGTAATTCAGGATTTTGAATAAATTCTGTCGCTGAAGAAATTAAAGAAGTATAAGATGCGAATGGGCGAGAAGAATATAATGCATTTGCTAATGGTAAAGCTGTTTCAAATAATATATTGATTTTATTAATAAATTCTTCGTATGATAGTTCATTTAACTCAGAAATTGGTATTAAATTTGACATTTCGCTGTCAAAATATTTTTTTTTTTTTTTTTTTTTAGTGTTATAATATCCATACATGCATATTGCATGCAGATCTTTCAAAAGTCACTGCATAATCAGATTTTTGATATTAAAAAAAAAAAAAATTTCTGGTTTATTAAAAATTATGGATGGGTCAAATAATCTAATATTAAATTTAGTTACAGAAAATTCTTCTGATAATGAAAGAGCTAGTTTGAGATCAAAATTAAAGAACATTGGAGGAGGTTGGAAGGAAAAAAAAAAATTTCGAAAATTTTTAAAAAAAGAGATTCAGAATAATTCAACCGATAAACATAAATTTTTTCAAAAGTCAACAACAACAATAGCAGTAAATAACAATAATTCAATTCAAGAAAATAATTTAAATTCTCAAAAGAATTTAATAAATAAATCACAAATTATTTCTTCTATTTTTAGCTATAACCCTGAAATACCAAATGTTAGATATGATAATAATTCAAAACAAATGGATCATAAACCAAGTAATGCACCAATTGATGATACTTCATCATTTAAAAGTATGGGCTTAGATAATGATTTAGTTGAAAACATGAAAAATAAATTAGGAGTTGAGAAACCAACAAATATTCAAAGCAAAGCAATTCCTATATTAATGTCTTCTATCAACAAAAACGTAGAATTTGATGTTATTGTTCAATCTGAGACAGGATCTGGAAAAACATTAACTTATTTACTTCCAATTGTGCATCGATTAATAAATATTACAATTGATATACAAAATAATGGATTGCTTTCACGTTCAATTGGAACTTTAGCAATTATATTAACCCCAACACGTGAATTAGCAATTCAGGTTGTATCAGTATTGAAATATTTAATTAATATTCCACCTTCAAAATTTACTTCTCGTCATTTAAATCATTGGATTGTTATTGGCAATGTTATTGGGGGCGAAAAAAAGCAATCTGAAAAAGCTAGATTACGTAAAGGAATAAATATTTTAGTTTGTACTCCTGGTAGATTATTGGATCATTTACAAAATACTAAATCTTTTCTGGTAAAAAATTTATGTTGGCTCATACTTGATGAAGCTGATCGTCTTTTAGAGTTAGGATTTGAAGAAACTCTTCAATCAATTATAAAAATTTTAGATGAAAAGACTATTAACTCGGAAACAAAAAATCAAATTTTCTCATCTTCTAAATTTTGGCCAAAAAGAAGACAAATTATTCTTTGTTCTGCTACTTTAAAAGATGATGTTAAACGTTTAGCCGGATATACTTTATTTAATCCAATTTTTATTGGAGGAAATGACGATTTTTCCTTTATAGAAGAAAAAAGTGAGAAAAATGCAAAGTTTAACACACCAAATCAATTAAAACAATCATATATTATAACGCCAGCAAAATTACGTTTAGTTACTTTAACAGCAATCCTTAAATCAACTTTCAAACAAATTAGAAATTTAATGAATCGTAAAATTATAGTATTTGTATCATGTTGTGATTCTGTAGATTTTCATTTTGATTTATTTATGAATGCTGGAAAAATTAACGAATTAGATGATGAAAATTCTGATGATGATAAACTAAAGAATAATGATCAATCAATTTCTACTATTATCCCTGCGAAAATATTTCGATTACATGGTGACCTTACACAAAATGTTCGTACAGAAATATTTAATGAATTTAGTCGTTCAAATTCTGGAATATTATTTTGTACGGATGTTGCTGCAAGAGGTCTTGATCTTCCTGACGTCGCAGAGATTATTCAATATGATCCGCCAACAGATTTAAAAGATTATGTTCACAGAGTTGGTAGAACTGCAAGGTTAGGTAAAGAAGGTGAAGCTATATTGTTCATATTACCAAGTGAAATTGAGTATATTAATGTTTTAAAGTCACAAGAAATTTTTGCCGAGCCTGTTCGAGTCGAAACTTTATTAAAAAGTTTGGCAACTCAAAATAAGAGGAACAAAAATGAATATGAAGTCGTAGCGACAGATATTCAATTAAATTTTGAAAGATATGTTCTTTCAAATTCAAAGGTAAATCAAATTTTCCATAAACTTAATTATAATGTTGTTTTCAACTAAAGGGATTGTTTATTATTTAAAGCGCACCACATTAGCCCAAAAGGCGTATTCATCACATATTCGTGCATATGCAACGCACGTATCCACAGAAAAACATATTTTTCATGTAAAAAAATTACATTTGGGTCACATAGCAAAAAGTTTTGGTCTACGAGAAGCGCCATCAAATGTTAATAACAATCTTGTTTCCTCCAAGAAGTTAGATAACAAGAATGATCATAAAAAGGAAAAGATTTTTAATAAAGAAAAAAAGAATTCATATGATGATCAAAAGAATATAAAGAAAAGGAACTTTGAAATAATGAACGAATTTTCTGTTGGGAATTATGGAAGTATGATAGGACCAACTACAAAAAGAAAGCGAAAAGGTAATAGAATTAGTAAAAAATTATCAATGTAAAAAGATCTAAATTTCAAATTGTATAAATATGGAATTGAATTTGGTCAATAATTATACAAAAAATACAGGTTTTTTGCAGATCAGTAAAGAAATGTATTAGTGAATAAGTGAATATGCTATTACTATGAGGAATGAATATGAGACGTAATTTCCTGCCTCCTTCCTGATTTTATTAATTAAGACTTTTAAGGATGCCTTTGTATCTGTCTCGTGCCTCGTGGTAAAATATTGTAATTAGGTTGAATGACATTTCCGAGATTTCACAACTTGGTCTCCCGGAATTTTAACTTGTGATGAACACGAGAAAAGAATTCAACAAGTATGATTCACATGATTTTACTTCATGTTTCAGGCAAGAAACTTCGAATTTAATTAGACGTGTGTTAACTTACCAAAGTATGGAGTCACGAGAATTATATAAATTGATTGACCGTTTACGTAAGCTGCGATTATTAATTAAGATGTTTTGTTTTAATGTAATAATAGTTGAACGACTATAAATTAAATGATAAATGAATAGCCCGAAAAAAATATAGTGCGAGTCATGAAAAAGAAACTTCGATACGAGAATATAAAAGTTAAATTTAAAAAAAAGTTAGATTAAGAGAATAAAATCGAATGGATCATGATGTAGGGTTAGGGTTAATTATCATGTAATATTTCTACAAACGAAAAGGTTAAATTTCTTTTCCCCAAATTAACAAGGGGTTTACTGGTTTACTTACTGCTGATACTTGATAGTAATTTGTTTTCGTTCTTTTTTATGGTGACGACGTGTTTGCGAAGAACTTTTCGCGTTTCTTCTTTTTTTACTATTTCGTTATCAGTTAACTTTCTTGTTTTTTAACATCCTTAAAATGTTTCGAGATTTCTTTGCAAGACCTTGGATAAAGAAGGAAGTATTAAGTTATCTATTTGATAAGGAAAAATATCAAAAAACACCCGTTAGAGCAATTAGAGCACAAGTTATACGAGTAAGTTTTTTATTTTCCTAAAGGTGCATGTATATCTGACAATACTGAATATGTTGAATTCAAACTTTTTTTTTGCATATTCTAGTTTATAAATTATGAAGAATTAGAACCAAATGAGCTTATGTCGGCAGAAATTCATGATAATCAATATTATATAAAATGTTTTTTTACTGACGAAAGTCTTTATGAATTCAACAGGTTTGTTTAACTTTATAATTTATAACAATCCAATATTTAAGTTATTATAGAAATAATTTTCTTATTAAGATCCTATTATAAATTCATAATTAAAATCATGATTTTATATATTTTATATCTAAATTAAGAAAGAATTTTTAATCTTTAATAAAAAACACGAGAATTTTAACCTTAAAAATTTTATTACCTGAAATTGATTACTGCGGTGAAATTCACTAAATTCACTATACTAAAAGATTTTTTTTTATTATTATTACGACGCGTCGGATAATTATAGACATAGTATTGATTATATGGTGGGGACGCTTATCATTATAAGAGATTATACATTTTCTCACGAAATCGATTCTTCAAAAAACAAACACGAGTGTTTTTTAACAATAAAAAATTTCACTTACACTAAAAATATAACCGATTTAGAAGAACATTCTTTACAGATAAAATATATTTGCGAAGAAATGGAAGTTAAAGAGACACCGAAGCATATTGACCATCCTGGTTGGAACGTGAATATTTTTTTTTTTTTTTAGAAAGAATATTTTTTAAAAAAATTGAAATTTAAAGGGTTCTAACACAAATATCATACAGGGTTTTAGATATACGTTTTATAGTAATTCGGTTGATATTCGAACTGTTCCGCTGCATCAATATAAACTCATGAGTGATATTCCAGGTGATTAATGTTAATATTAATCTTGTTATAATTTTATTTTTTTCGCGTTTTAACGCGGTTTCATTCATTAATTTTAATAAGGATGGAATTTTTCACAGAGAAACCATAGAAACAATGATTTATGTGGTTTGTGTATTTTTCTTACACCTAATCATATTTTACATTATGATATATACTAAATCACATGATGTACAAAAGTTAAGATTGAATCAAATGAATGGAGTCCTGGTTCTCCTGAATGTAAGTTATCGTAATTTTCTGTCGATTTATCTTAACATAAAATATAAAATAATTTTTTATTTAGCACCACGACATGATTCAGATGGGGCCATTAGTCTTAATGAAGAAGACATTGCTATTATAATGAAAGGAAATTATAAGGAAAGAGAAAATTACCGAAGTGATACTTTGGATGATGAAGAAGTCCATTTTGAACGAACTAAAAGAAAATATGTAGATAGCAATAATGACGATATATCTTCAAAAAAACATAAGAATTCTCCAAGTACTTTCTGTAGTTACGTTTGATAAAAACTAGTGAATAATTATCAAGGTACCAGGTATAGTACGATTGACGTATAGATACTAGTTTAATTGGGGATAAGCTTTGAATCATCATAACTCGTTTCATTTATCAAAATAAAGAGAATAATACGTCGTCAATTAAATTTTTCCAAAATTGTTTTTATTGTTTTTTATTATTTAAAAGACAAAAAAAAAATATATTAAAATATAATTAATATGATTAATTTTCTTTAATAAAAATTAGAATAAATAATTCACATTGTCATGAAATTTTCATATTACGTTTGAATATACTTTGCATATAAATGTCCATTGTTTTACCAATCCATGAATCTCTAACATGTAATATAATAAGCCATGTTATAAATCCTAGTGAGGAAAAATATAATAAATACGTATATCTTACTCCATATAATAATGAATAAATAGTTATTATTAACAGTATTGCATTAGTTACAAATCTTGATTTTCTACAAAATTATTTAAAAATAAATTAGAATCAATCGAAAGAATCAAAAAAAAAAAAAGAAAGAAAAAAAATTTTTTTTTTTAACACCTTCCGGTTGATCTAGGCAGCATTTTTCCATTGGTTATAATTTCAACATAAAATATGATTGGCGCTATGGCCAATATACTATGATCCCATGAAAATGGCGCAAACCAATTAACTGACATATTTCTTATCCATACCATTAACACAGGTACATTAAATGGCAATAACATAAAAAATAAGATTAATATTGATTGTAAATAATGATAATTATCCCAACTTTCTTGTACACATGTCGATTTATACTAAAAAATTTATTAAAAATAATAAAAAAATATCAGTACAAATTAAAAATAAGAAAAGTGAACAAACAACTTTCTTACCACTGATCGAGCAATTATTAAAGACTTCACACACGATGAAATTTGCACCAAAAATGCGACAATAAACGCGAATTGGTACGGAACAAAAGAAGCAACAAGAATAAAAAGTATTAATGTTATTATTACATGCCTTCGCAATCTTGACTTCGATTCCGAAGGCCTATATATATAAACTTTACGTTAATTTATTTTTACATAATTAACATCAGATCAACTCATAAATAACTTACTTATTAACTATATTTTTTACAAATAAATCCCGTCGACTCATAAATACAGCAGCTCCAGCCAAAACTCTTACAATAAATGCTAATAATATCCAACTAACTATAGTTATTCCAATACTCATTATAAAAAATAACGGTGGTAGAAACCAGAAAAATGGATCCTGATTTCCAAGTAATGTATCATTCACATTAAATGACGATTTGGCTTTAATAGCTTTTTGCATGTCTCCTGATGCATAATCCATCGGAAATAAATCTGCTAATGAATATGTTTTTGAAGCTCGAGTAACTGATTGGTAAATAGACAATGCTGACACAAAAATAATAAATTTCAAGAATGTTTGTCGAATGAAAAGTGCTAACCCATGCCCGAAGCTTATAAAGGTCTCTACAAAAAATGAAAAATAAAGTAAACAAAAAAGAGAATATCTTAAATAATAACAGTAATAATTATAATTAAATAACTTGCCACCATGATCGTACTCTCTAAATTGTGTCCTTAAAGTCATAATCACAATTATGAAAGGAAAAGCAACGAGAACAGTTTGAAATCGCATAATTATTTTACCAAGACTTCCATAAAAATCCCATTCAATATCAATTGATAATGGAATTGAACACGTAGGATCCATCCAAAATTGTAATTCAAGTCCTCTACGAAAATTAGGCGCACTAACAGGTGTCACAAAAGGAGACTGTCCATGAATATTCAAATCCGCATTATCGACGTTGACCAGAAATTTAGATTCGTACATGGACGAAATAGATTGACGTGCAAATGTTGCAAAATGTTCTAAAAAACAATAACCATATAAATTAACATAATTAATAAATAAACCACTACATTACCTAAAGATTATTGAAAACGTTAGTTTACCTACACATCCCACACGTCGAACTGACATTTTATATGTCATTAAACTACTATCAATAATTGGAATATGCAAATAAGATACCATGGTTTGATGTTCAGGAAATTCATCAATATGAATGCCATCAATTATAAGATCTGAACGGTCAAAAATAATGTGTTTTTACTTCATAAATTATTATTTTTTTTTTCAAAAAAAAAAAAAAAAAAAAAAAAAAAAAAAAAACAAAAAAAAAAGAAAAGAAAAGATCTACAACCTTTCATAGACGAGTTATTTAATTCCATAATCGTTAATCTTTCATCAAAGAATTCTCCAATTAAGAATCCTTCCATAGAAACTTTATTATAAAACATAATAGCAATATATTGATAATCTCCCAGATCACTGACATTTAATTTTAAATAATTGAAGGTTAAACCAGAAAATGGATGTTTCAAATCTCTTCTTGAAGCTGGCAATAAAGATGCTTCATTAGATGCTATGTGGCAAGAAAGTCTTGGTGCTGTGGGTAAATCTATGTTTAAAGATAGATCTTTTTTATTTTGCTGATCGGGAACTTCTGTTGGCATAACATCACATAAAAGAATTTCTATTCCAGGATTTTTTGACAAGTATTGATCCGTCAATAAAGAAAATGTTGAAAGTGGTTCTGGTGGTGGTATTGGCATTAAATATACTTGTGTTGTTAGATTTAAATGATTTAAAACTATTCTCTGGCCCATGTTTAAAAATTTGTGGGGCACCTTCTCCAAATTTACTATTCCAAAAAATTCTAATTGATAAACAAATTTAAATTCATGTATATTAAGAAAAAATATTACTTTCTAAAAAGAAACTTTTAATTTAATTACCTCTTTTTGACTTATTCAATCCTAAATCAATTGGATCTTCAAGTCCAGTTAAATAAAATTTTCGAAATGCCGCCATCCTTTCTGCGCTTGGTTTCGTTTGCCCGGAGCGCCTAATATCAACAATACTCAATAAAGAGGTCGCTACAACCTTGACTAATTGCTCGCACCATAGAATGGCTTGGTGATCCATAGAAGTCCATACATTAGGAATAGATGTAGTAAAAACAGTGAAGCCATGAGATGCAGGAACGATTGAGTTTATATTTGCAGAATCTGAACATACGACAGTATCCAAATTCCCACCGGCGATAGATATCAAAGTAACTTCCGCCAAAGAATTTTCGGAAGTTGCACTCTGAGAATATCCATTTCTCCAGAACTCATTAATATCGGTGTAAATCTTACTTATTTGCCAATCAAATGGGGCAGGAGGTAAAACATGTGGTGTTGCAAATGTCAAAATGGTGTTTATGGATCCAGGTTGATAATTTGGCATCGTAAATAAAGTTCTAGCAACTACACCACCCATTGAATGTCCGACTATAATAACAGAAGTCGGATCCGGATGCGGTGAATTAGTATTCAGAATTTTTCGTGTTGACGGATACAATGATAAAATATATCGAATAGCGTCATTAAGATATTCCGCCTGCTCATTCAGAGAATGTCCATGAAGTGCAGAAAATTCTTCATTAAAATCAACTATGGATGTGATGTCAAAGAATAAAAAACTATCTTGAATAAATAAAAGTATAAATCAATGCGATAAAATCAGATTCTTTACCTGTAAAAAAATCAAGTGCTCTAACTCCCATCTCTAATGATCTCTGATCTCTCGAAACAATTTCGGAGAAAATTTTTGATGTCTCTGAAGCTATTGAACGAACTTGTTTATAGCTACCAGCATTGCCTGGAATAAAAAGGGCTGGAATGCCGGTTGGCTTTTTGTTGAAAAAGATTTAGATAAATTTTTATTCATTTTAAATTGTCTAATTTTTTAACAACGATTTCGTACCTGATCATTAGAATCGTATACTCTATCTCTGTATAGATACAAGCCATACTTTCCGGCAAATTTTGATTGTTCACTATCAAAGTTATCATGTTTGATGAACCAAGGGTACATTCTCGAAACATGACACCCTTTGGAGTCTTTTTGACGGTTAAAAAATGAATCCATAATCATCCCAACCAAAATAATTGTTAATACTCCTATAATTATCATGGAGTAAGAAAATGAAAGTGAAGCTGAAGCATTTCGCATTGATAATGAAGCACTAAGTTTCCGCGGGGTAGAAGAATATCTTATAAAAGAGTTTGTCAAAGTTTGAATATTACTTGGAAAATTATTATTTAAAAGTGCTGAATTCTCCGATGATGCTGGAGAAGGAGTTCTATCTCCTTGATGTTGTTCGTTTTGTGAGGTGTCGACTTCATAACGAGGTGACTTTATTTCGAGTGATTCTCGCTCTTCCGTTTCAAGAAAACCCATTAAAAGTTTTTTTTCTTTTCTTTTTTTAAGTTCTATGATACTGCCACTTGAGCTTTCCACCTCCTTCGAACCATGAGATAAATTTCAATAATTTTATCTTTATCTGTAAATTTTAAGGTTGAAACGGAAACACAAAAGGCGACTCTTAATGTACAGTTCTGGAAGTGTTTACCAACAGAAAAAAAATTTCTCTACAGAATACACGAAAAAAATCTTTAATCCGACACCATTATTATTCCGAAGGTGGGCGTGGCAATTTAGATATTTACTGATGATCTATGCACTTGATCAAATTGATAGTATAAATTATTGATAAATTGATAAATTTTAACGTCTGTTTAGCTTATTAATATTAATTTTTAACGAGCATGTCAGAATACTTATCAAAAGCGGCTGCTTTTGCGCAAAATGCAGCCAAATTATCTAAAAAAGTTTCGGAAGGTATTGTGGAAAATGCGCGTGAATTTGGGCTGGAAGCTACTTCCTCAGGTCATTATTTTGATACTTCCGAGGAAAAAATGAGAGATATTAAGCGACAGTTAGATTCAAGGCATGACAGAGAGAAAATGGATGGGCTGAAAAGACTGATCGCGGTATGTATTAATAAGAAATATTATTCATGGAAACGAAAAAATTTCCGGAATAATCTGTCAAGTTTAATTAACGCGTATTTATACCTATTAAAACAATATAATAAAAAAAATTCCCGAAATTAAACTAAATTTTAGATGATCTCTAAAGGACGTGATGTATCCGAATTCTTTCCTGATGTTGTAAAGAATGTGGCATCTCAAAACCTCGAAATTCGAAAACTAGTGTATATATATCTCCTTCGATATGCTGAGCAAGAACCTGATCTTGCACTTTTATCAATCAATACCTTTCAGAAAGATTTGACTGATCAAAACCAGTTGATCAGAGCGATGGCCTTACGAGTTATGTCTGGTATCCGAGTGCCCGTTATAAGTCCTATAGTATTATTGGCAATTAAGAAATGTGTGACTGATTTATCAGCATATGTAAGAAAGACTGCAGCCCACGCAATTCCAAAGTGTTATAGGTATTGTAACTTTATCATTTTATTATTGTTGTTTAAGAATTTATATTCTATTGCTCCATTCATTTACTCATTTTTCAATAGTTTGGATCCTTCTCAGAAAGATGCTTTGGTTGATATAATCACTACCCTACTAAAAGATAATTCTTCATTTACAATTGGAAGTGTAATAATGGCTTTTAATGAAGTTTGTCCTCATAGATTTGATTTAATTCATCCACATTTTCGAAAATTATGCCGGATGTTAATTGATGCTGATGAATGGGGGCAAGTTGCTATTATTGGATTATTATTAAGATACGCTAGGTATGGGCACTATATGCATTTTATATTTGTCACGTGAGATATTAAAATATGGAATTGCTTTTATGGTACATAGGACTCAATTCTTGAATCCAAATCCTAATGTAAGTCAAATATTTACAATTTAATATAATTTGATATAAGCTTTTCCTGTATTAACGATATTTTGTCTTGAAGGAACCACGTGCATCTAAAAAGAAAAGATCAAGAGCTTTTTATTCGGATGAGGATTCAGAAAAGTCAGATGATTCCCTTGAAAATTCGTTTATCCTTGATCCAGATCATGAGTTACTGTTGCGATCTTGTCTTCCACTTTTGCAAAGCCGAAATAGTGCTGTACTGTGATAACTATTTGAATTATAAAATTGCAAGTTCTTTTACCTAAAAGCATTATTTTTTTTATTCAATCGTTTTTTAATATCTGCAGGTGGTTCTTTCAGTTGCGAAAATTTTCTATCATTTGGCTCCAGTTGAAGAAACATATAAATTGAGTAGGCCCCTCGTGAGGTTACTACGTAGTCATCGAGAAATTCAATACGTTGTACTGGCAAATATCGCTACTATGGCAACCCAAAGACCAGTATGTAGAGAATAATTTATTTTCATTTTTCTCATATTCATTATACTAATTTTTCATGGTAACTCGAATAGCACCTGTTTGAACCTCACCTTCAGCAATTTTTTGTTCGCTCAACAGATTCAGCTTTTATTCGAAATCTTAAATTGGAAATTATGACATTAATTGCAACTGAAAACAATATCACGGTTCTTCTTAGAGAATTGCAGGAATATGTCAAAAGTCCTAACAAGGAATTTGCGACTGCGGCTATTCAAGCTATTGGCCGATGTGCAATCGGGATGCCAGATATGGCGGAAAGTTGCCTTAGTGGGTTGATGAAATTGCTGTGGAGTAAGAATGGTAAATATTTATTTACAAGAATATCATTATATTAAAATGATTAATTATTCATCTCTGTATTTCCTTAATTTAAGATGCTGTTGTTGCAGAATCTGTTGTAGTTATCAAAAGACTTTTACAATTAAGGCCTCAGGATAATGCAGATTTAATCATACAACTGACTAAAGCACTTGATCAAATTACTGTGCCAATGGCTCGAGCTAGCATATTTTGGCTAGTCGGTCAATATGCTCAAAACCTTGAAAAAGTTGCTCCAGACGTACTTAGGAATTCTGCTAAATCTTTCATAAATGAGGATGATATAGTTAAACTACAGATTATCAATTTAGGCGCAAAATTATATTCACTTAATCCATCAGATCAGGTTCTTAACTTGCTTTTCCAATATGTTCTCAATCTTGCACGATATGATCTGAACTACGATATCAGGGATCGCGCAAGACTTCTGCGAGGTTTAATTTTGAAAAATGAACAGAAGGATGTAACATCTGATAATGGAGAAATTGGGGAAGTACAGTCTTCTGATTCAATTAAAAGTAATATTTTGAAAGAGAATTTAAAACAAATTCTTCTATGTGAAAAAGAAGCTCCGTCCGAAGAGAGTCCATCTGCAGGTTTATATTTCATTTTTCAGAACGTGCAAAGTATTCACGAAGAGAATTTACCTGATTTATAATATGATTTTTTTTCTTTAAAGGGCGAGATCGTTTCACCATTGGATCAATGGCTCTCGTCCTAAATCATTCTATACCTGGCTATGAGCCATTACCTGATTGGCCGACTGAAAAACCTGATGGCTCGGCGCGGAACAATTTGGTAATTTAATAAAACATTATATATTTATATATTTATATATAATTTTCATTTAAGGACAATCGTTATATTTAGGATGAAACATACAGCCGATCACAGGCTGTGAAAGGGTTCGGAAGCGATTCGTTTGGTGGTTATACACCATCTGTTTACGATAAGCCTTTAAACACTAATAACCGAAAAGAGGTATATGACCTTGACCGCTTTTATGATTCAGAAAATTCTTCAGACGATGATAATTTACGTGCAAAAGCTTCAGGTTTGTATGATTTGAAATTCAGCACACCTATTCAAATTTATCATATTCTAACTTTATAAATTTATCAAAATTAGGTCTTCGTTATGATTCTATCGGAGACGAAACTTCAGAAAATGAGGAAGACGATGATGAGGAGACAAGTAATGATGATGAGGATGAGAGTGAGGATGAGAGTGAGGATGAGAGTGAGTCCTCCGAAGGGGAAGAAGAAAGTTCTGTAGATGAAGAAACAAATGAAGAAGAAACATCAGAGGAAGAGGAGGAGGGGGAGGAGGAAGAAGAACAAGAATTATTATTGGAAAAGACAAGAGAAAAAGGGAAGGTACGGGAAACGCCCAAGTCGCGTTAATTATTTAACTTCAAAAGAACTTTATAAAAAACACATTTTGTATTGGAACGTATAGATTTCACTATAGAAATAGCATATTATTAATTACTATTTATTTACTGATATAATTTTCAATATTTTGTTAACACTGACTAAACATAATCATAACCTTTTAATCAAATTATTGAAATCAATTGTTTTCCATTGTTTTTTTTTTTTTTAAAAAAAAAGAAAGAAAAAGAAACAAAAAAAGGAACCCTAAATAAAAATTAAGTTTATGTTGGCCTTGCAGGGGTAGCTGAACCTGCAGCAGGTCTAATAGCTATTATTTGACTTGGTTGTTGTCGGAATTGTGCTCTGAATTGTTCACGACTTCTTTCCTGAGCTGTTATTAGTTGAGAAAATTTAGCCAATTTATATAAAAATAAGTGCGTCAACTTAGTTAATACTCACGATTATATTGAAGGAGTTTAGAGATCAAATCGGTGTGAGTTAAGATCATACGCCGACAACAATATCTTTGAAGTCCGATCGCGTCCATTGCAGAGCTTTTCAAATATTAATTTACTGGCAAATATAACACGTTTTTGGAAGAAAATTGTTTAAACAAAGGAAAAATTACCCTTCAGTATAGTCATTTTCCAACATCGTTTGATATAACTCCCATTTATTTCCTATGACTTTCCCGCAAGAAAAACAGCGTACCGGAATTATCATTTTTGTTTTAAATTTTATTTAAAAAAAAAGCAACCAATACTTAATAAATTTTCTGACCAATCATGATTAGCTTGATCAGCATGTATATTTCTTGGCACCGTAAATATTTTAAATCGCGCAATTATGTTTTTCAAGAAAAGCAGACGGGCATTGTCTATTCAGCCTTTATTTATCCTATAATATTGATATTCACTGTAGACATTGAAGCCTAATAATTGCGCGCTTCTTCTAACGTCTGACATCTTGTTCATTCTTGATAAGAGCATGGCATGGACAGGAAACCATTGAAATCAACTTGCCGCTCAAAATTCTAAAATAAAGCGCTCTTTAAAGATCATAATGTACTCGAATTCATCATAAAAAAAACTAAATAAAGGATGGTTGCATTCCCAAATTTTGGGTTTGATTTCTCTTTAGCCTCAAGATTTCATTTACTTATGAAGTACTTAAGTACTTGAGCATGCTATTACATATTTCTATTCAAGCCCGAGATGAAATTATCTGTCGAATTAATGAACTCAATAGCAACAAACGTCATCATTTCTAAAGGAAAGGTATATGTTACAATAACTGTTCACAAAAATTGTTTTTCATATTTAAACTTTCTAAAGACATTATAATTATTATTAATATTCTTTTTCTGAACTGGCGTTTGTCTCCTCTATAAAAAAAGATTATCAAATCAATTCATCATAAAGAGGATAATCCCCTTCTCTTTCTATTGCATCATGAGCATCGTCAAAAGAACACATTTGCTTCGATAGATCCAAAAGTTGACGCAGCAAGGTATTGGCAATTATCTGTACCTCACAGGGTAGATAAAATCCTAGGTAGATCACGTGGTTTCCGGAGCTAAATCGGATTATATAAAAAAAAAAGAAAAAAAAGGCTTGATGTTTTTATCTGTACGTGCTTAATGGTTTTATCCATCTGTGCTTGATATTTTTGTCCGTCTGTGCTTGATGATATTTCTTGGTGACTTTGTATCTGCGTGAATGAGAGTCATATCTGAGATCCTTGTACTGGATGTTATCTATAAATGAAGACCGAAATATACGGTGGTATAATAAAGCGAAAAAGATGTGATAAATGTAAGCAATGATGGATAGGGATTCTAATGGCGCTCGAAGATTTTTCTTTAGCTTTGTTTGATGGGACTGTTTGTATATAGTGCATTTACAGTAATTACTATTTTATTATGTTATTAACGATCAATTCAACCCATCCTAACATCTTAATAATCAAATTTACTAATTAGTCAATAATGTTAAAATTTGTCAAATAAGGAAAATTAGCCAATTAATGTCGCAAGTTAATGGTTTATTTCGTTACAAAGAAACCATAAATTTTTTATTAGAAATATAATAAAAAAAATATCAAGATAATAATTTTTGGTTTTTATACATTTTTTACTATTATTAATGGAAACCGATGATTTTTAACCTATTTTTCTTCGAAAAGAACAACCTATATAATAACCATGAGAATCGAGTTAGAAATTTATATAACTTCATTTAATTAATTCTCATCAAACTATACCCTCAGTTAGACGAGCACGACCACCAGTTGGTTGGCATAATACATTGGCACAAGAACCACACAGCACGACAGTCTGAGCATGACTAAATACGGTTGTGATACTAAAACAACCTATAATCATTATGAGAAATTAGTAAGAAAATGATCGAAAAAATTAAATCTTATTTTGTAGTATACCTGGACATTTTACGTCCATGAAATAAGAGTTTGGACTTTGCACAAGTCTCTTAAGTTTGTGCTGGCGCTTTTCGCATTCAGGAGTTGGATTGAGAAGATCTACAGTTAACTATTTTACATAATAAAAAAAGTTGTTAAGCTTGATTTAAATTTATAAATAGAATAAAAATTCGTAGTAATATCTAAGCCGGAATTTAACATTAAATGGAGGATCTAAAAATTGGTATCATCCAATTTTTAATGCCAACCATCAAAAAATTCTTTCAATGAAATCAAAAATTAATCATTAATACACACCACCATGATTTATTTGTACTGCAGTGAAGAACGAGAAATTTTAAATTGATTTCCAGATTTTTTAAATCGAGGAGTATCCGATCAAACGTGATTTTTTTGAAACGTTAAATGATTTCGTCATCTAGTGTATTAGTAATGCACCAATAAATTACATTATTAACTATCCCCGATTAGTTAGGATCTAGAAAACATATTTCGATAAATGATTGGGTGTTCATTGTTTAAGTAAATTTGTCCTCTCCACAAAACCTAATAAATTCACCAACATTACAATACTCTATGCAGTGGTACTTTTATTAGCACAACGACCACGTGTAAAGAATAGAACAATAGCAAATTCTCTTTTTGTAGCCATTTAGTCTTTTTTAATGCGAGTTGATTTAGTTGATAATGGAGAGAACCATTACGTTTTCGATCAGATGATAGCGTAGATAATGAAAAAAGAATCGACAAAGCATTATACTAAGAATATGTTCTTACAGATAGACAATTAAAATTGTTCGATATTCTCTAATTCTCATTTCAGACTTATTTACTTAAGTAACACAAGTGTATTACGTAACACATGTTTATTGACGATCCCGTCATCGACAGTTGAATGAAATTCTACTAGTTCTATTTGATCACAGTAGAATTGATATAAAATGATCGGTTCTTTTTTCAGAAAAAACCTTTCAGCAAATTTATTTCTTGCTCTCTCTCTCTTTCTCTTAAGTTAAAAGAAAAAAAAAGTTATTATTGTTTATTTAATAAAGAAAGAAATTATATTGTCTTTGTTTAGTAGTTTTTTTATTTGAAATATTCATTTGTAAAATGTCACCTTCGCGACAACAAACTACTCGTAACGAAGCAACAAAAGAAACTTATGATAATATGGATTCTGGAGAACAACAAAAAAATTTATCAACCCCTCGAAGTACAACAACGTTTTCCACTAATACCTCAAGTTCGCGTACAACAACAATGACTTCTCAGGAACAACAAAAAAGACAAGAACAGCAACAACTTGATAAAGAAGCAACAACAACAACAGTAAGTGCTCAACAACAACAACAACAAACAGCAGGAAATTATTATAATTTCGATATTAATGCATTGGTACAAAGTGCATTAGCTCAAGCAAAAGTTGATCCGGAAGTAGTTAGAGCAGCTGCTCAGTTATTTGTTTTAGCAAATCAAGCTAGAAATCATGGATATTTAGTCGACGCAAATTCAAATGTCGTAGATGTTACTGCTGCTAATCGTTCTAGTGCTATGTCTTTATCTAATTTACTTCTACCTGATGAAGCTAATTCTTCTTCAAAAGCAACGGTATTTATTAAAAATAATTAATTTTATATTTAAATTTTTCTCTTTTACTGAAATTTCTCAAATCATTTTTTTTTGTTTATTAAGTAGAATGATGCTTCGTCGTTGCAAGATGATGGAGTTCATGATCATTTAAGAGAGGAGTTTGTCAAATTATGAATTGGTGCTAAAATGACCTCTTTGGTTCTTTTATGCGTTATTTTTTAAAAAAAATACGAATGGTTGAGTTGATTGTGTATTCAAAGATTTTTTATTTGTGTATTAACATTAATTATTTGCAATTTTTCTTTTTTTTGCCTTTGTTAAGATTTAACATCGCTTGTTTAATTTATCTTCATTTATAATGATAACGAAACAAGAGATTGGATTATTTTATTTGAGACGTTTGATTGTTTTCTTTAAAAAATTCTTTAAAAATTCTTTATAATTCTTTTGTTAAAAAAAAAGTATTTTCAAAAAATTAGGTTTTCTTTTTATCCTTCGTTGCAATTAAATTTGTATTAAATGGTTGCTAGTTTAACCAACTTGTCTAAAAATAACTAATTAAAAAGATTTCACAAAATAATTCGCTTTATACTTTTAAAAGCTGATACAGTGGATATAACGATTAAATAAAATGCTTATAATAATACATGATAATATATTGCAACCGATATACTGCTGTGTCCAAATTGGATCGAAATAGATCCCGTGTACTTCGTAACATCAAATAAGAAAAGATCTACTACGACTACTTGCTTGATCTTACATAAGACTTTGATTCCGGAAATACATTCCGTTACTTTTTCTCGCAAAAAGAAAATTTTTATTTATTATTCAGACTTGGATCTATTAATCAATTTTAATTATAGCGAAATTAATTTCTATTTTAAATTGTAACGGTTTTTTTATTGCTCTTTTAAGGTAAGAAATAAAAAATGGCCTAAAAAATTCTAATTTTTAGATTTTAATTTCTTTAATGAACATATAATAATATTTCTATTAACTAATGCCACATTTTATATTATTATTTATTAAGTTTTACACTATTATTGGATAAATTTTCATTTGTAACATATATTAATTGTCAATTACTTTATGCTATTAGCCTATTACAAGTAACAGATAATAAAATTTTCTAAGTAAATTAAATTTTATTAGAGAATATTTATAATTTGGCAATAAATAATATAATATAAACAAATATGATGGGATAATAAATATTTGTCAAAATGTGAGATTTTTAAAAAAACTAAAATCAGCCACACAAACTAATTTTAAGTTAGTTGCAATACTCATAAACCTGCACATTGTTGCACAAGGTTGAATATATATTTATTGGCTTTAGATCATTTTTATACGTACCCTTTAAATAAAATGACTAATAAAATTGATCCATATAAATACATGAAAGGTTTTGGAAATCATTTCTCCTCCGAAGCATTGCAAGATGCTTTACCAAAAGGTGCAATTTTACATTATTTTACAAATTATTTCTTGTATTATAACTTTCAAACCATTCTACATTTTCCATTAGGCCAGAATACTCCACAAAAATGTCCATATGGCCTTTACGCCGAACAACTCTCAGGAACGGCGTTTACCGTAGACCGTAAGAACAATCAACGAAGGTATAGATTTAATAATACTAATCTTTTTCAATGATCGTTCTTATCGGTCTGGTCGGCCTGATCCATGATTTATTTAATTGTGTCTTGAGCGCAGCTGGCTCTACCGAATTCGTCCTTCAGTTTGTCATCAGCCATTTACAAAACTCGATTCAAAATCCCATCATATCGCTAATAAATTCGGCATAGGCGACATTCATCATATTCCAAATCAAATTCGCTGGAGCCCTTTTAATAAACTTTTGTTAGAAGACAATAAAAAAACTTCTAATGATATAGATTTTGTTCATGGATTACATACGTTGGCTGGCGCGGGTGACCCAACCATCAAAAATGGTTTAGCAATTCATATTTACACCGCAAATGCAAATATGGATAACACGGCCTTTTATAACTCTGACGGTGATTTTTTGATTGTTCCACAACATGGAAGACTTGATATCATCACCGAATTTGGTTGTTTGATGGTTGCTTCTAATGAAATTGTTGTTATTCCACGCGGAATTCGATATTCCATTAATTTTCCAGACGGTCCTAGGTATCTAGACAAATTAAATTAATTTATGGTTCTTTTCATTTTCACTAAAAAAAAATATATATTTACTTAATAACGTAAGCCGTGGATATGTTCTCGAAGTCTTTGGTAATCACTTTGAATTACCTGATCTTGGACCGATAGGTTTAAGCGCTAATATTCATATTGTTTATTTTATTTTTATTAATCTTTCGCTACTAAATAGTCTTTTGATTTATTAATAGGAGCAAATGGACTAGCAAATCCACGTGATTTCCTAACGCCAGTAGCATCATTTGAGGAAAAAGAATGCGATTATACGATAATTAATAAATATGCTGGACAGCTATTTGTTTCTAAACAAGTAAGAAAGATCTAACTTGTCTTATAGTCCTAAACGGAAAATTATATTTATTCCATGATTATATTTTAAGGATCATTCGCCATTTGATGTTGTAGCTTGGCATGGAAATTATGTTCCCTATAAATATGATCTTGGAAAATTTAATACAGTAAATTCGGTATCCTTTGATCATATAGTAAGTTTTTCTCAATAAGATCGAATTCCTGAAGGAATATATCTCTTTTAATCGAATTATATTTTATTTTGATGCCCCCTTTATTTGTAAAGGATCCATCCATATTTACAGTACTTACATCAAAATCTGCTTTTCCTGGTACTGCAATCGCAGATTTTGTAATTTTCCCACCTAGATGGGCTGTCCAAGAACATACCGTGAGTAAATAATAATTTAACATATAATTTAACATTTAAATTACATGAGAATAAATAAAAAAAAGTTCGAATGATTCTTAAGTTCCGACCGCCATATTTCCATCGCAATTGTATGTCTGAGTTTATGGGACTAATATCCGGTGCTTATGAGGCTAAATCCGAAGGTTTCTTACCTGGTGGTGCTAGGTATATTTATGTATATTTGCTTTTATGTATATTCTTAAATTTGAAATTGCTATTAATATCTTTTCGATAGCCTTCATAGTCATATGACTCCGCACGGTCCTGATTCAGCTACCTTTGAAAAAGCGTCTAACGATGATCTCAAGCCCGTTCGTGTAGCTGACGGTACAATGTGTATGTTGTAGTACGAAATAATTTTTCCGCTCTTTTCTAAATATGTGCAACTAATATATATATCTACTAAATTAGCATTCATGTTTGAGTCATCATTAATGCTCGGCATAACTGAATGGGGAATGTCTAATCAAGTGGATATTCAACATGATTATTGGAAAGCTTGGAAAGAACTGAGAAATAATTTTGATGCAAATAAATCAACTAAAGGTCAATAAATGCTACATTTTAAAATTTTGAAAAAGGATACTTTATTAAATTAGAAGTTTACAAATAATACAAATAAATGTTTAATTATTTTCCGCGTTCTGTCTTATTTTTATTGACATATCTTGAAAATCTCAAAACACTTCCACTACGAATACCTATCTCCTGAATTCTAGCTTTATCTTCCAATAATTTTTGTCCTTCAAACATGAGACAATAAGTTTTCCATATATATTTCCTAAAAAAAAAGTAATGAAAAAATAATTAATATACGTATACATATTATTAAGAAATAGAAACTAATATTTCATACCAACTTATTTTCTTATTCCTTCTGCCCTTTTCTTTAAGATCTCTTGTTACTTGTAAAACAATTAAATTTTTTATATCTGAAATGGTAGCATTTTGTCGTACCACCATTTCTATAAAAAAAATATATATTTATACATATCAGAAATAAATCGAGTTCTTTACAAATAAAAAAAAAATTCTTTGAAAATTACTTAATGTTTCAAGGCCACATCTCAAAATAGTAATCTCAAATGCAGTTCCCATTTCCAAAGCAATAAGTGTATCAACATGTTCAAGAGTTAAAGAAGTTGTCGTAGTAGTTAGAGAACTTTCGCCAGTCATACTAGAATTGTTCTTATTTATGCCTCTATTGAGTAAAGCACGGTTATTTTTATCGCTACTAATGTATTTAGTTAGATCTGAAAGCAAAGGATCTTGAAAAAGTTGTTGCAACATTTTTTGAGTTTCGGTAAGTTTTGTATCTTCGTCAGGAACTATACAGTTAGAGGTTAAGCTAGTAGTGGGCAATGAGGATGAAATTAATGGAGGTTCGGGAAGAGGAGGAGGAGGCGGCGGTGGTAATGGTGGAATGGGTGGCGTAGATGAAGGTGAGATAGAATCCTCCATATTTATGAGAAAGAGATAAAAAGAAGAAAATCTTTGAATAAATCAAAATGATTATAACAACGTTTATTGACTTTATTATAACATTAATTGATAATAAAATTAAAAATATTTTATTGATGAATTATAAAGGATGTGTAGGAGGATAGTCAAAAACAACTGCAGCATTTTCAGGTTCATATTCTATAGTTGTTGTCGAAGCATTTATAAATATAGTTTTTTTCCTATCTTGATCAGTAGATTCCCAAGTTTTCTCGAGTACACCATAAGCTTCATGAATATGCCCAAATATATGAACGTAAGGTTTTATAACCTTTATTCTTTCTAATAAATCTTCACAACCGACGTTTTCTCCACTATGATGTGTCTTATCCAATATATTATAAGGAGGACCATGTGTCATTAATATGTGTGTAGTCTGCGGAATTTGTCCCCATTTTTCTGCAGCAAATTAACATGTATTCTATTATAAAATATAGTAAATATTTTTTTTTCCATGACTTTCACTTACCTTTTAAACATTGTCCACGTTGACCATTAAAAGCCCATTCATAAAACTCTGGTGTCCATGGACTTCCCCATATTTGAATTCCCTTGTCAGGAATTGTAAATGATTCTTCATTTAAATATACAACTCCATTACCAGCGTTTTTTATTATGTTAATTGCTTCTTTAGGATCTTCTTTATTATAGTGAAATCTATTCCAATTTTTTTCATAAAAAGTTTCGTCCAACCTGATATGAAAGTATAAACTAAGATCAGTTACAAATTTAACACAAATGATAAAAACACTTACGTATGCAACTTACGTTAAGTCGTGGTTTCCCGCAATGATAACTTTATATCTAAAACATCATATTATCATGAGTGAAGATTGAATTATTTGATCTGAAAAATGAATTCCCACTTACTTATGTGGAAGATTTTTAATCCAGTTAACCGTATCTCTTACTTGTTCCACCTTACCTAAACCGGTCATATCTCCCGCATGAACTACAGTATTAAAAATCATTAAAATCAAAAATTTTTTTTGTAAACTTATACTTGTTAAATATTTACGAAAGACATCTCCGTTAGGAACTTGATATTTATCCCGATCAATTTTATTATGAGTATCGCTAACACAAACGAAACGTGTCCATTTTGAAGAAAGTTTTTCTGGGATCTTTGATGCAAAATGAACTAAAATTTCTTGTGATATTGAGCGAGTTCGTGACATTAGAATTAGACGATAAACTTTTTTTTTTCGAAATGATCGACAGCTGTAAATCGGATTTTTCACCAAGCCCTGTCACAGAAATTACGCAATTTACCATAATGATTTCCCTGCGAAGAATCTCTGCTCAAATCGCTAGCAAAGGATCCTTATTCGCGGTAATTAACTTAAATGTGATCAATATCGAACCCGTGCTCATTTTTTTTAAAAAAAATAGATTAGACCTCTTCTTGTCCTTCGTGGTTATGCAACTTCTCAAGACGTTTCGACCTTACTTCTAGTTGAACACAAAGATAAATCTATTGCTTCTTCTACACTCAATGCGTTCACAGCTGCTTCAAAACTCGGTAACAATATAACTGCTCTTGTTGCCGGTGAAGATCCCGGGCATGTAGCTTTGGAGGTTTCCAAAATTAATGGCGTTTCCAAAGTTCTCGTAGCAAAAGATAAAGCTTATGAACACGGACTTGCAGAAGTTTATGCGCCTTTGCTAGCTTCTGCACAGAAACAACTAAAGTTTACACATTTGGTTGCCTCTCATTCAGCATTTGGCAAAAATATTATGCCTCGCGCCGCAGCATTATTAGATGTTGCTCAAATTTCGGATGTTATTGATATCGAGTCGCCAGACATTTTTGTGAGACCAATTTATGCAGGTTTGTTAATTTTACTAACAACATCACGCTAAGATTAATAAATGAACTTAAAATATAGTTGTAATTTAGGGAACGCTATCGCTAAGGTAAAATCAAAAGATCCTATTAAAGTTTTAACTATTAGAGGAACAGCATTTCCTCCCGTTCCTGTAGGAGATCAGGCAGGAGTTTCATCTGAGGCCGCGCCTGAATCCGAGAAACTTGCTTTGACTGAATGGGTTAGTGAAGAACTTCAAAAAAGCGATCGACCAGAACTTGGCACAGCAACAAAAGTTGTATCGGGTGGTAGAGCTTTGAAAAGTAGAGAGAATTTCGATAAGTTAATTTTTAGTCTTGCTGATTCAATTGGAGCTGCTGGTAAAGTTGATGCTTTTTCTTTTTGATGATATATAATTCCTTTCAACATCATAATTTTTAAATTCCATTAGTTGGAGGTTCAAGAGCTGCTGTAGATTCAGGATATTGTGATAATGCTATACAAGTTGGACAAACAGGAAAAGTTGTCGCGCCAGGTACGGTTTCTTATTTCTAAACATTTTTGTAATAAAAAGTATGTTTCTAAATGATATATCTCGTTTTATAGAATTTTACTTGGCTGTAGGTATTAGTGGAGCAATACAACACATAGCTGGAATGAAGGACAGTAAAGTGATAGCAGCAATTAATAGTGATCCTGATGCACCTATTTTTCAGGTATTTTGATTAGACATTTTCATGTAACTTGCGACATTCCCTTTTTATTATCTAATATAACATGAATTCAATAATTTATAGATTTCAGATTATGGACTCGTCGCGGACTTATTCACTGCTGTTCCTGAATTGACGGAAAAATTAAAAAAATGAATAATAAAAAAAATGTGATAAATTATAAATTAACTTTACATAAAAGGCAACGATTTGCAATATTCTGGTGTTCCTTTATACGCGTTTTATCTGCGGGGGAACAAAGATTGCGAGTGACGTAAATAAAATCTGATTAAAAATTGATTTTGATCCCTTCAGTCTAACGACCAGGTTTATAAGAACTAAGAACATAAAATATCACTACCTAGAATTTTTATATTACGAAAAAAATGCTTGATTACACAGAATGGTCTCCAGATAGTTTCAAAATCCTATATAATAAAATTCAACAGGCAATAAATATTGCTACCGATAATGTCTTAATGGAACTTAATCCTCGTTTAATTGAATATAAACCATGGTTTCTTCTATTATTTGACGAACCAAAACCAGATTTAGAGAAAGAATATGCAATTAAGCAAGGTTAGTCTTTATATTTTATACCGATTTCCTTTTATAAACCGCAGGTTTACATTATCGAAAGCAGGTTATTTATTCCAAGTAAATTCATGAAGAGTAAATATATTTATAATTCAGGAATATGATCATTTACATCAATAATATATTAGGCGAACCGGTGTTCATAAAAGGCAAACCATATAGGTTTTCACGTACAGAAATTTACGAAATTATTGATATCGCTCACAGTCTCAATATCAGTGAAGATTTTGCAGCTACAATGCACCAACATGCAAAGGAACTTAAGTCAAGATATAATAAACCAGTCGCTGAAACTGCAATTGCTCTTTATTATGATGAAAAGACTTACATGTTGTTAAGTTTATTGACTATTTTCAGTAAAGCTTATGATACTGAGATTAAAGAAAAAGTAAGAGATGCTTTAAAAACATTCATTAATGGTTTGTTCAAATCATATGAAAATTTAAATCAAGGTCTTTTATATGGTATTAAATTAATGAAAACTATTGAGATTTTGAGATCTCGTATGTTAGATCTGGAAGGACGTTATCAACAACTCATTAACAATAGAAGTTCTGTTATAACTTCAGAGCAATTTTTATATTTAAATGAAGGTGCTATTCTACCCTCAGTTGACGAGAAAGTCATTTTGCAAAGAATGGCCTCAATTACCACACATCGAAAATATCTTGCATATATTATATGGAAGATGGCTTTTACTTATCTTTTTTCAACTCAAGAAATTTTGTATTTATGCAAAATGCTTGAAAATCTTGATCTTAAAGATAATGTCTACCCTTATTTAATCGCTGCACTATTGGCAATTATCAACACTTCATCGGATCATTTTCTTAATGATTTAACCGCAAAAGAGAAATTTGAAGAGTTAATGAAAGACACGGATTTTATCAATAATTTTACAAATATTATAAATCAAGATACATGGATGGTTAATGCCGCTAAAGCAGCTGTTTTGATAGAATGGAGTATATTTATAGGGGATTCGATAAAAAAAAATCCCGGTTTAGAAATAAATTTGAATATTAAGTCAGAACATTTATCAGAAATGTTTCATCGAGCTGTAGTTAACGATGCTTTTCAATTTATAACACATTATCTTCTTTCATTTCAAAAGACTGAAACGGAATCTATTTTTATGGAGAATCTCCCAAACGTTGAAAATGTTTGGCATAAAACAAACAACGGTGAAATATCTTTCTGTGGCCTTATACTTATACCTCCGGGAAAAACACCAAAAACTATTCGTGGGCTTGAAAAGGACTTTCAAAATAATCTTCGTAAACAGCTTGAGCATTTTGTATTTAAACTAGTTAGTAAGAACATGAGTTATCTACAAAAGATTAGACGACAAGAGGAAGATGCAATTCAATCAGCTACAACAGAACCTGCTACTCCCAGCACGAGTAAATTTCCTTCCACTCCTAGCTCGAAACCAAAGAAGACTTCAGTATTACGTCATGATATAGAAGCCTTTTTTATTTTAATTGCGACTTTATTCCGTAATCTTCCTGACGAAGGTCTAAAATGTTGGGTAGAAACGAAATCATTGATTAATTGGGGAGCAAGTTTTCAAGAAACTGGAATGATGTGTGCTTATTTGGAAATGTTAAGTTCACTTGCAACCGGTAATGAATGTAGTACATATGCTTATGAATTTCTTTCACGTGCTTCAACAAGCGGAGGATGGTGTTCTTGGCAAACTTTGTTCAATGCTATGGAGAGTTATAATATTGATATGGTTGATGAAATGGTGGAAATTCCTAAAGAAGAAGTGCAACTTTTGATCTCTTTCTTACGTGTTTTCAGACAAGTCGTTAAATACTGTGTTCAAGCAAGAGTCGATTTTATTAAACGTAATATTTTAAAGCTTCTTTTTAGTTTGGTATCACAGCATATACCAACTGAATTAAAGGCTGAACTTTATTATGCTGTTGCTGCTTTCTGTGTTCCGAACGATGATTTATATCTTGAATTAATTTTAAAAGTTTGGACAATACTTGAAGAGGAACAAATCGTTCCAACTGTACCAAAAAATCTTAAAATAGGGACAACTTCAACGGTGGAGCCTTCGAACTTTCAAACGCATGATATGTCAGCCATCAGGAAGGAGATAGAGGAGATAGAATCTTCTAAAAAAATTTTCTTTCAAACATTGGCATTTATTAAGCTTATTAGCACTTTGATTTACGTTCCTGAACAGCATATTACTTTACGGTGTGGATTTCCAGTTCGTTCACCTACCATACATGAACAATTAGGATTTGATTATCGAACACCTGGAATCACACCTTATGTCAGTTTTATAGTAGACGATATTTTTGTAAAAGCACCTACGAGAGAATATATTTTTAATTCCCAAAAATGGGAGATTATAGCAAATTCTTTAGAAATTATTGAAAAATGCCTGATTTCTTTTGATTTAACCGGGCCATTATTTGAAAAAAACCATTATTTTGCAAAATCTACAAAACAAATACAAATACAAAAAAGAATGAATAAAGAAGAAGATCTAGTCTTCAATAATGACGAAATAGAATATTTAAGAAATCATCCTGGATATAACATTATGAAAAGGCTTCTGACTAATTCTCGACTTATGGAAGTTATTTTAGAAATTATAGCCACTGGAAAGAATATATTGGTTGATAAATACGAAGCATCTTCTGACATTATCGAACCTCTTATACGTTGTTTAAAGATTCTGTGGATTGCACTGGAAAAACAAGATAGATTTTTGAAAACTTTAGTTCCACTTGTTAATGGCAATACTCCAGGATATCTTGAACATGCTTTTCTTTCAAAGAAAGAAATCATTGTATCGATTGCATTATTACTTGATAGTGAGAATGCCGATATCTGTTTTTATGCAGTCAAAATATTAACTTGTCTTTCCAAGTCAACGATATTTAATTCCAAGGATAATCTTGGAGCCAGTAGAGTTAATAGATTGTCTAGTATTTTGGAGACTAGTCAATTTGCGAATGAAATTCTAAATAATTTTGTCAAACGATTAGAATTAAGGGGTGACGATTACTGGGATTTTAGTATTGATCAAAGAAATTTTGAGCTTGTTCAACTGTGCCTTAAATCTTTGTCAAAACCCGATGAGGAAGAATTTAGCGCAGAATCATTGTCAAAAGAAGATAATATTTCACTTTCCACAGTCAGTTGTGCTATATTAGACCTAATATTGGAAAATCTTAGACCCGGTAGAATTCAACCTACCATTTCACATTTTCTTCTGGGTTATGATATCCGTGGATCACTACAAGTCCCAGTAATTAAATATGTTGCTGATGATTATAGAGAGTCTTGTTTACACAAAGTAATGGAAATTCTTGGTCATCCCATCAATAAGTTTACTGAGAAAAGTAATAAGATCAATAAACAACTTTTGAATTATCCTTCACTTGTAGCACGTTGTTATCAAATTCTTTATAGACTTTGTGTTGATAACACCACTTCAGATGCTACGATGTTATTTTTGCGAAGTCAAAAGTTTATTTCAAATCAATTTAGAACAATGCCTCTGTATATTGTTCAGCCGGATTTAGAACCAAAATGGGATCAAGGGATTATGACAAGATTGGATAAACAGGAAATTGAAATCGATTGGGTCAGTCTTTGTGCCAATCTTGATGAACGGACTTGGTTGATGAAAATGGTCTCATTAGAGTTACGTAAGGTTCAAACTCGTAGTGGTATCCAAAATTTGTTGGCTTTAATTTATGGATTTGAAGTAGTTAAATCGAAAGACAGAAATTCTATGGATTTAGATGTTAATAGTCCCTCAACTATGAAAATCCTCGATATATTAAATATGTTGGAATTTTTCTGGGATGATTCATGGCAAATGCAACCACCCCAGCAACATTATTTTGAGAAAGTTAATATCGAGACATGGTTATATCGTAATGAGAGAGGAATTGAAGTATATCGCTTGCAAGATGTCTTCTCTGAGCTATATCAACTATATAAACATTTCCATAAGCGAGGAGTTACATTCGATGATAAAAATTTACGAAACGAAATAAAACAAATTATGAAATTTTGTTTTTTTCATAATCGTAATCGTGAATTTGTTCATGCAAGGAACGAATGTTTTAAAGCTTGGAGAGAAATTATTGAAATGACAGTTATTAAACATTATAATTTATTGCGATTTGAGGTTCGAGAATCTACATTTCATGATATTCTGATGGGATTATTAACGATAATGAAAAATGAGAATGATGTTATTGCGGGAGTTCTTAGTAAAGTTGTTCTTACCATAATAACCGCACTGCGTTTGGATCGCAAGCGTCAATCAGTTTTACATCTGACAAGCCTTTCGAATATTGCACAATTGAGGGTTCCTTCTGAACGACTTTATTCTATATTCAAATTGATTCTTGATTGTCTCATTGGGCCAGGATTTCCACCTGAAGTACGCAACCATATATATTGTACAATGTTCAATTATTTGCATTATATCGACTCTGATCCGAATTTTACGATGGGATCGAGACCTCAGCACGAATTTGCATTAACGCTAGGTGGTGCTAGATCTGCGCTTGATGGTGGTAACCTTGCAGTACTTCATAGTTGTGGTGATCGTTTACTCGAAATTATACGCTTAGATGCATCCGAAGGACCTGTGGAAGGGAAACTTTGTTCCTTAAATATCCTTACCGCTTTATGCAGTCTGGGAAAACGCGAAAAGAGTAATTTCATCATTGATTATATTGTACGGACACATTTCCTAAGTACTGTGGTAAAGAGTTTAAAGAATCATAATGATTTATTGTTAAAGGCAATAAGACCAAGGCCTGGTAAGCATTAATATTATTCATTTTAAAAATTACGATAAATCATACTTAGTAAAATTGTTTCTTTAGAGCAATCTGCTTTGCAAGCAAAACATGTATTTGAATCCAGAGTGGTATTGTTAATTCGTATAGCACAACGTCGTGATTGCGCTCTTAAATTGATGGAATCGGGAGTTTTTGAGTACTTGGATGAACTAACATTTCTAGATGAAAGACCAAAATTTAATAAAACAGCAAATGGTAAATTTTAAGATTGAACAAATATATTTTAAAAATAATAATAATAAATATCCGGTATTTTTTTTTTTTTTTTAGATTCCGATGATAACCCTGAGTTCAAACGGTATCATGAGCTTTTAATCATTATCCTACGTCTTATTGCTTGTATCCTTACGAGCATAGGACATGAAAGCGGACCTGCTTTAATAAAAGTATGATTTTTTTCTTATGCTGAATTTCAGATTTTATATATATCTCAATGATTTGATCTTATTTTCGTGTTTAGGCATCAAGATTCGTAAGTAGACATCAAGGATTGATGTTAGAAATATTGACAGATATTTCTCCAGTCGATTTATTAGTTTCACCAAATGTAGAAGTCAAAGATAATGCTATATTAAGTATTGGAGTTGTTCACGAAATGTCTCGTATATTTTACTTTTTGGGTGTTAAGCTAGAAGCTATCGATAAAGTAGTAAGTACATTTATAGTATAAATTTCTTTTATTTTACTATTAATCACATTGAAATTTTTATTGTTATAGCGTCGAGAGACACATCAACGGACATTTCAAGAAATTTTAAAAGAATTAATGATACGATTTTTTCCGGTGCGAAAAAGTTTGGTGACAATGACAACAGGAAATGAAGCCGACATAAAATGTAATTACATATAAGGATCTTGTTAAAATGATAATTCACAACATTATTAACTAGTATTAATTAATTTTATTTAAAGATGCGCAAGAACAAATTGAAAATATTAATAGGAATTTTTTGGGGTGGTGCCAAATAGTGACTGCGAGCACAAAAGGTGTTCAAGGTAAAAGTTTAATCTAATTGTTTAAATTTATTTTAGTTTTGTAATTATATCAATTTTTATTTTATTTATCTAAATAATAGACTTTAGACCGATTTTTACAGCGATCCTTGAATACGCCAAAAGGCCTGATAATGATTATCGTGGCGATCTTAGTAAGTTTTTTTTTTTAAGATTAAAATTTATTGATACACTCAGTTTAATCTTATTATTATCCTTAATATAGAGGAACCTGAACTTTCAATATGCATAAATTACGTTCGCACTTCTATAGATATTTTAAATCACCATATGCAAAATTTCGGGAGAATATCTATCAAACTTGAAAAAGGCGATAACATTGAAGAGGTAATTTCAAAATTGCACCACAAAATTTCCTTATTTTAATTTTATATTATTGTTTCAGATTCTATCTGGGCTTCGTAATGAAGATGTTGATGATTTAAATGATTCACAACGAAAGAGTTTAGCATTGCGTACTTTACAGGAACAGCTTAGTAAAACGTCGAAGTGTATTACACAACATTCATGTAAGAACTTTGTTATTTACTATACTTTTTATAATTTTTCTAAAGCAATCTGATTTCTATTTTCCTAATATTAAGATGACGTAGAGATCTCTTTACTTTTAATATGGCGGCATCTTGACCATTATATGATGACAAAGTTTACTCGAGGAATCTCTACAACATCGCTTGGGAATACTGATAAAACGGCTTTACAAAAAGACGCAAAATTAGTCTTGACAGACATATTAGAGAAACTAGAATCTTTTGAGAAGAATACTGTAAGTTCAATTTTATATTAATAATATTTTAATTATAATATTTTTAAATAATTGTATTTCTTATATATATAGGCCATAAAATATAAAACGCGGAATGAATATATTCAAATGATACTTCGCAAGATAAAAGCACTTATTGCTTGATCCTACTAATAAGTAACGTAATACTGTATTAATAAATTTTTTAATATATATTTAATATACAGTATAGGTGGTGTAAAAAAAATTTTTTTGAATTTGAAAATAAAATAATAGTTGAAAAAATCTTAGATTTAGTTTGACTCTAGAACTGAGCTTTGAGCCCAGTCTTAATAGAATATTCGGCTTCTAAGCTAACCTTTGATTTAATTTTTGACCTGTAATTTTGACTCAAATCATTATCTGCTATACTATTGTTCGATAAACAGTATTTTAAAAAAATTTACCATTCATAAAAACAAGTCTCAATACTATTAAACTTTAATAAATAATCAAATATTTTAAATTAACCACTGGTGAATATAAAATTAATCCTTAAATTAATAAGTAATTAAATTTATTCTAAGACCTTTTGATACATTTTTAAAAAGAAATCAATTAAAATATCCAAATAAATGAAAAATAAATCAAATTAATGAAATTAAAGCATCACAAATTTAAGAACTAATGAACTTTAACCAAATTCTTCATTCAGAAATTTCTATCAAACTTGACATTTTTAAGTACAAAAAGTTTTTTCATTTAAAAATGCCAAATTTAACATTTTTAACTTTTTTGAAAAAAGAGTAACACTTCTTTTATTAGAAATCCCAAATGGTGTAATGAAAAATAAAATTTGCGTTCTACCTTATAAGATCTATTGTTAAATAAAATATACTTTATGAGCATTCAAACCAAAACAAAAAAACGCTTTGTAAGAAAAAGAATACTAACTAAAAAAAGAAAAAATTCCAAAAGAAACTAAAATTTCCATCTGCTAATACAAATAAAGATTAAAACTATATCTAAGAAACTAAGACCAAAAGGTTAACCTTTTACTAGTTTAAACCAACAGCTTCTTGGTATCATATTTTATCCAATATAATCAATATAAATGTCATAATATTTAGCAATTTAAAATTTTAATTTTACAAAAATATATAATATACAATAATAGGCAAAAATATAATAAAAAAATAAATAAATAAAAAACTTAAAATCTTATTTTAAATAAATACTATTAAACTATTATAAAATGTGTTAATATTAAAAAATTTATATCTCTGGAAATATAAAATTCAATATAATTTTAAAAGATTACTACATATATATATATATATATATAAATTTTCTATTTAGGTTCTAGATAGTTTCTCTTCTTTTACTAGTAAGAACCTGCTTTAGCAAGTTTTAATTTAATGTTTTGGGAAAATTCTATAATGTTTTCCAGTTATATTTATTATTAGAATATTTTTATGATTTTCTTCTTACTATTCATAAAATAAATAAATAAATAATATACTGTATATAAAAACAAATCTACAATTTGTTTTATATTATTTAAAATCATAAATTCATTAGTTTTTAAAATTGGTAAATCTATTCATTGTTAAAAAAGAATTTACAGTCAATTTTTGATATAATAAACCTGTATATAGTAAAGTTTTAATATACTAAACTATATATATTATAATTTAATATAATGATATAATATAATTATTAAAAAAATGTATAATATAATTAACTATAGCTGAATAATCTTATATATTATTATTATTTAATTGGATTTGAAAATAATACTTTTATATTTTAGCGAAAAAATTTTTTCATTTCAGTAAAAATTTTTTACAAAAAAATAATCATGTAAAGATGATCTATAATTTTTAACTTTTTGATACTAATATATTTTGATTTATTTTTAACAGATTTGTAAATTATTTGCAGATTTACAGATTATTTGCAATTGTAAATTTTTTGGAATACAATTAAATTAAAATAGTATTATCATCACATATTTGTGTATAAAATTTACCAATAAAAATACATATCCAAATTAAGTATAAGTTTTAAACAATTTTAAATGACATAATTACTTATTTATGCATCTATTTATATACTTTTAAATATATTTTATTAGTATATTTTTTAAAATAAAAAAAATTCATATATATACTACAAAAATTGGAAAGTTTAATGCTATTTTATACAATTTATTGCATAATTGGTGTAATTAATTTTATATATAGATTGCATTTTATTATATGAGCTCTTTGTAATAAAAAGAGAGAAAACTGATAAAAAAAAATTTTTTTAGTTAGTACATATGGGCTGATTTGTCTTGTTATTTGACTCAAGGTAAAGGTTCACATTTAAGAACCTATTTATAGCATGGTAGATAGGTATATTTAGTTGACTAATGTATACCAACCAACTGGTATGTGCAACCTGACCAATTATCACTACAACTGCCATTTTAATTTGGCCTCAGGATAGTTCCTATCCATTAACTGAATACTAACTGGCTAGCTATAACTCTTTATCCATTCTAAAGGCAAGACAAGCTTGAATTTATATTATGCCACCCTGGCCTGTCTTAGTAATGGAGGACTTTCAGTGTCAGATGTAATGGCAATTATCTAGAAATCCTTCCGTACTAACATTCACACTTCAGAACTGAACTAAGGCTCACTTAAGGCTACTACAGCCCCATGATTCCTTAGCCCCAAGGTACAGTTGTGAATCCCCCAATGGTATAGTAGTGACCACTGAGACAGAGAGAACATGAGATAGTACAGACTCGCTTGTTTGGAATTATTTCCAGTAGTGTCCTACCACCCAAGCTGCCATCCGGTACCCGCCTGGTGGAAAGTTGAACCCCATACCTCACCTAGTACACCTGTCTGTTTTGGAATATCCTAGTTGGCCTAAATCTATTAGAAGGTAAACTACCACAAAGTCATTGCACTCAGAATTTTACCATCTATAATAACCATCTAGCTATATTGGACCCCAAGCGGTATCATTTGAGTGACCACCTGGACAGGAAATTACCCCCAAGGTATGCAAGCAGTGACCTCACAGACAGGACTTCAAACATCCCAATAACCTCATAGAGAACATTAGAAGGATATCATAACCCTTTGTTGAAATGTGCGGCCTAATAGTACACACTAATTCACCATAGTGCAGTCCAACTACCTAATTCCTGTATCTTTACGCTATTGGTAGTAGCATCCGCAGTAAAATTCTTTTTATTTCTGTGATCATGGAAATCGAACCTGCAACCTCACCATACTCAGGCTTAATGAGGGTCTCAGTAACCAACTACTGAGATAAGGTGATCAACCCTATATATGGGCTGATTTGTCTACTCTGCATTAAAAAGAGTTATTGAATTGATTTGCACAATTTTCGTTACTCAAAATTGTTTTGTAATACCAAAAAATCATCTTATTGATGATTACTTGACTAAATAATAAGTTGAACAAAAATTTACATTTGCGAAAAAACCCATTTCACTAATAAAAAACCCATTTCTCAAATATATGGAATTTTTAACATATGGGGACCTGTCTAGCAAAACAAGGAGTTGTGACCAAAAAAATTTTTTTTGAGATTTTATTATAATTGTAATTTTTAGTGAAATTGACATATAATTATCATATAAACAAAAAAATTTTTTTTTGAGACCAAATCCCTTGTTTTGCTAGACCAGTCCCCATATATTATTAAAAAGTAAGTATATTTTAATAAAATATAAAGTAAAATAAAAATTTATATAGTCTTAGTAGCTATAAATGTTTATAAAAGTATAATAAAAATATCATATAAAAGATGGTATTATAATAGATATTTTCAAACAATAAAAATAATTATTTTATATCAGAATTTATATTACCATCTTTAAAAGCAAATATATCAAGATTCACTGATCCGTTTTCTATAATTTTAGGCTAGTTGGAAAGCCCTTGTTCTGGACTTTATAGGCGAAAAAAGAGCTTGCCGATTAAATCATTAAATCCAGAGATATTTACGTTTAAAGTTGAGGTACAAACTTTTTAACATGCTTAAATGCAAATATCTTGGGATTCACTAATCCGTTTTTTATAAATTTAGGCTCTTCGGAAAGCCCTTGATCTGGTCTATATGAGCGAAAAAAGAGCTTACCGATTGGAACATTAGATCTGGAGATATTTACGTTTAAAGTTGAGATACAAAATTTTAATATATATAGTAAGTGCTAAGAATTATATTAATTTAAAAGAAATATTTACCAACTTATAGTATAATAACATTAAATAAAAGTTTTTAATACTCACCCCCAATTTACTGTATATTATATAGTATTTTGTATAATAAAAATGTAATAAAATCAATATTTTATTTAAAAGTAGACAAATCAGCCCATATAATTAATTCTGAACAAATTATAATCATATTTAAAGCATTTTTAGTATATAAATATAAATTTAATTTTTTTGGTAGTTTCCCTCTTTCTATTGCAAAGAGCCCATATAGTTTTATTGTTTTTAGTATAATTAATTATAAAAATTCAAATTTATTTTATTTAACATATTACAACTGAATTTACAAATTACGTATTAAAACAAATCACATTATAAATAAATATTAGTTTTTAGTATTCCAATTGCTATCTTTACTCTTTATTTTTTTTTATTTAATAAAGTATCAGTTTTTAAAATATTAAATTAAATATTTTAATATTTTAAAAATATTAAAACATTCTGTTTAATTCTCAATTTAAAAATTTATGGAAAAAGAATTTATTTATCTGGTGGTGATAAAAGCTTAATTTTAATAGAATTTACTCTTATTCAGATAAAGACAGATAAAAAAATTGATTTATATACTTTTGATTAAAATAAAGTAAAAATGTCATATAAAAAATAAAAGTCATATATATTTTAAATTAGAAGAGTTATTGTTAAGTTTTACATTTATTAATAGTAAGATATGGAATAATTTTATACCTTTTCATTTATTTTATTTCTATTATCATCTATATTTACTACCTTTGAATATCAATTGATTCTTTATAAACCAATAAAATTCAATTTACTATGCCTAATTTAAATTTAAATATTACTAATATAATGCAAAAGTTTTCCTTTAATTATATAATTTGATCTTATGCTTCAAAATTAATATGAATAAAATACAATGAATTTTTTTATATTATAATATTTTATAATAATTCAATAATAAACAACAAATATAATAATAATATTTCAAATAATAATTAAATTAGTAATAATATTTTAATTTAAAGCAAAATTTTACATAATACCTTTTGTCCTTCCCTTTTCCTTCTCTTTCCCTTCCCTTCCCTTTTATTCTTCCTTTCCTTTTCTACATTTTCTCCTTTCTTAATAATACAAAATTAAACATTTTTAAAATATTATTAATTAAAAAAAATCTTACTTAAGGTAAAGTAGAATCCTGTTTACTTATAAGATAGGTTATTCCAGACTTAAGGTAAAATTATATATAAAATTCTTTGC